ACAGAAAGGGTTTGTGTAATCAAAAAATCATTAAGTATGCATTCTAAATTTCCCTTCTGCCAAATGCTGCAAAAATCTCCCTTGAAGTCATTATGGGTCACCTCATGCTGCCAATAGTAACAAAAGTATGAGTAATTTGTTGTATTCAGTATTCTGTGTTGGTTTATCTATAAACCTACATCTGCAAAAAGCCCCTGGTGTATCCAGTTTGCTAGATTACTCTGTCATATCCTCTAGCTTATGAACTTTTTCTAGACCTTTGACTGCATGTCAAGCTTGTCCTCAGTTATGGCGTGAAGATCACATCATATTTCTAAACTGAAGAAAATCTCTGAAAGGTTCAAACTCTGCATTTCAAAAGCTTGAGTCTAAAAGAAAGGTTTTGCAAGACTGAAACCCAAGTTTTGAAGGCTTGTGTCGTGTTTTGAAAGGCTGGAAAAGGGATTTCAAATCTCTGCAAACATTGTTTATATGTCTGTGCTGTTTCACTGTGATGAGCAACTTTGTTCTTTCCCTGCCATGGATGTCGCATTTCAAGTCAGTTATTTTGTTAGGATGTATGAACTAACTGAGTTACCTGGTTATCAACTGTAGAGTTTAATTGAAATCCCACCTGTCAATTAGTCCCACCGAACTCAGTCCTGTCTCCAGGATCCTGGCTTTTTTTTTTCTTCTTCTCCAAGATGGTCTATTTTATGCCAGAACTATAACATTTAAACCAGGAAAATACACTTGTTTACGAGGATAACAGTGCAGATTGAGAATTTGAACATCCAAAATATACGGGGCAAACACAATTTTAAAAATGCTGCAGTTGTGTAGAAGAAAAACTCAAATACAAAGAAATGTTTGCAGAGATTTTGTATTTTTTCAGCCTTTATACAATACTCAAGCCTTCAAAACTTTGCTTCAAGTCACAAAGGGCTTTTATTAGATATTAACCTTAAAAAAACTTAGTTTCAGCCTTTTGAAATGTTTTAGTTTGGAAATATGGCATTATATTTAGCCCACAATCAATAAATTAGAGTAATATTTAACTGAGTGATCTGTGCCCAGGCAGGAAAACGGTGCAATTGAAACTCCCAGAAAAAGTTTTGTAATTGGACCTTCAGTAGATTAGATAATTTTGTTGACCCACTGGTTTCAAGGTCAAAGCTGAACATTAATGCACAAAAACATTTTCATGGATTTTCATAACTTAAATATCAACCTGTGATTATATGTTTAAATTAAATACAACTTTGTAGGTGATGTAGTACCAATGGAGCTATGCTCATGTGCTGTTAGCAACACAAACAGAAACATAAAGAAAGTGACAAAGAGAAAAGTTAAAGGTAAACAGAGGAAGGTGGAGCGTAGAGGGTTGTTTATGAAGTGTTTTGCTTCATGAGCCAAACTTCACAAAAGCCGAAGTTGCTCCTGAGGAACATTGTGTTCTAGCCTGGAGAGCGGCCCCCAGACTGGTGTGTGTGTGTGTGTGTGTGTCTGTGTGTGTCTGTGTGTGTGTGTGAGAGAGAGAGAGTTGTGTCCCTTAATTGCACAACGTATTGAGGCAGGACTGACATGAAGCGGGCTGAAAAGACAGAGTGCCTGTATGTGTTCTTGGAAATGTTCAGGGGGGCTTCTTGGAGCTGAGTGAGCTTTCCTAGCAAACCTGCCTCTGTCTACATTCCTTTATGAACTTTGCTTTCCAGACATTTAACTGGGGGGGAACAGAAGCTCAGAGGGAAACACTGCTACTGCTCACTGAGGCACATGAACACACAGCCAATCAGCTGCGTGGAACATGTACTTTGTAGTATGTCTGGTCACCACATACACATGAACACACTCACATGATCCTCAACACACATATGTCTCTTACATAACACCCGGTGTCAGGAGGACATTAGTCCAACTCTGGGCCTCAGGAAACGTTGAATTCTTGCTGTATTTCATTGTCCTCACATGAAAGTATATTGTTGTTGTGTCTCATTGCATACACTGACCTGTTGCAGGCACTTTCACGCACAACTTTATCAGTGCAGTGTGATGAATGTGGCCATATCAGGATATTTGTGTAATGACAAACTGTACAGTTGCCCTGCCTGTAAAATAATAAACATCCTGTCCTCTTTATCCATGCTCCAGCCACAATAACAGTCAACAAGCAATCCTGACCTTTTGTCCTCGGCACATAATTAGTGTTTTTTTCTTGCTGCTGTCAGTGACACAGTCATCTGTCATTATGTGCTGCTGCTATGTCAAAGCAGATACTTTACTCCCAGCTGACACTAGTTCACTCAGATTACCCCGGATTACTCTTGTCGCTTGCGTGACAAAAGCACGCCGGCTTTCCACCAATGCCCAACCGCCCCCCTCCTCAGTAATCACACACACTGTTCCCCCCCCCCCTCTTCAGTTTTGCCATTTCCCATCCCCCATATTGTTACATAACTGCACTCCTGGAGTTACTGTGACGCAATAACCAAACAGCTAACCAGACACAGGGCTGTTTTGGCTCACATTGACACTTTACAGTCCAGAGTATTTTTGCGTTTGTGTGTGCACGCCACCTATTTTTTCAGAGCCTTTGTATTGTGTTGTCAATTTTCAGATCCCAGGATGATAAAAATCCTTTCATCCTTCCTCGCAAGCAGCCTGCAGATTTGATTGGTTGCGAAACTGTTTCTAAACGTTACAAGGTCGTGACTATGACGGAGGGGCTATTTATATCATAGTTGTTTTGGAATATTTTGTGCTAGAAGGCAATGTTTTGAAGCCCAGCCCTCTTTGGCAATAAACAATCAATGTCCAAAGTCTACCAGTTTTTTTAATTTCAGATGTGACCAATGTGTGAACAGTATCATCTAGAAAAGTTTTGTTCATGTGAACAGTGTGAGCGGTTGTCACTTTCATAACTGTGAGCTGCTGCTTCCTCTAAGCCCTCACAAACAAAGGCTGCCCTATGTGCAGCTGTCACCACCTGCCTCTTGAAATTCATCTTGCTTCTTAGCAATTAGGCAACGCACCAAATCGAGGCAACTGCAGCAGCAGCGAGAGACGGCGACATGTGAAAGAGCCACAACACATTCTGAATAAAATAGATGTTTCTCCAGGCAGGAGCCGTTCTCAGAAGTAACCTCGCTCCCTGCTATTTGTTGACCTTAGTTCTCTCTGACGGTGGTTTTCGGACATTCACGCTCTGATTGTGTAAGAGTTTACTTTGAGCAATGATGGGCAGTCGTCACGATCATCTACATCAGTGTGTGTCTATGTGCTTGGTGGTTGGACAGTGACGTGTCAGTTACCCTGGTTCCCCTGGCCTCGTGGTGACTCTGCCAGCCCTGACACTCTGCTCCCATCCCCCTTCTTCTTCAGATTGAGCTGCAGAACACCACCTCATTATGTAATCCCCCATAACACCCCCCTCAACACACTCACATATTCTCACACACATACAGTCAGAAACTGGTGTCCCATCCCCCCACCACCACGACCACCTGCCCCAGCTGGGAGAAATCACTGTATGGGACTGAAAAAGACTGAGCTGCTTAAGCGGAGTTTCTGGTTGCTGATCACCGTTACGCCAGTGGCGTGTGCCAACAGTATCACTGCTGTTGTGAGGTGTGCTTCAGTGTTGTTTTGGCGACTTGTGCATCACCAAGTTTTGCAACGTAGTGCACATGATGTGGCTGGCACGTATGGAGAAAACTGAGAAAAATATGAAGTTCTGCAGAAAACTGTGGAAGAACGTCTGTTGTATTTGTGTTTGAACGACGTGTAGTACCTGTACAATACCATATTTGCTGCTGTTTTAGCAGAAGACTGCAGCAAGTCGAGTTTGCCTAAACTAGATAATGTGTTGCTGTTGATGTCATGGTTCACACATACAAGACCAGTGCACTGAGCATATCTGTGACTCTAGGAACGAAATGAACAAGCCCTTTAGCCATTAGGCCAGAGTCATATGTCTGGTGATTTGCATGGTGTCACAGTGCTGTAGGTAGTGAGCATATCATAGTCACCAGGTTTATATGTGGAATTGTTTAAAAGCTGTGAGAAATACTGGATTACTTATGGCTGGCATGTTCTGCCAGCTGGAAATCTCTTTTGGCACTGATTTATGCAGATTACTAAGCAAGAATCTGTAGGTGTGGTATGCCCAAGCAATATTTTTATCTTTCCTAGAATTTAGATTTTAAAACAGAATTTAGTTTTGTATTGTTCTTTTTTTCTTTGTATTTTTGATGCCTAAATATTAGATACTACAGTATTATGATGGTTTGTTTGCAGGGTCATTTTACTGCTTGTTGCACAACTGGGTACCAGACATGAGCTGCAGGCTTCTTGTTTTATAAAGTACATTACACTGAATTCATTTGGCATTAATGCCTGAACTGATTCACATTAAATTGGGACGAATCAAATTGGCAGTTTTCTGCAAAATCAAAACAGCTTAAAAAAACAGTGTCAGGAACAACATCCTACAGCTAGCGTGCAAGGAACAGGCGCTCATTTAAACCTCTTTGGGATGATGATTCCTTCAGCATGAACCACTGAGGCAATAACCGTCATTTTGGCACACCCTTTATGGTGTGATCTGGCCATGTGGTGTCATGGAAGATATAATTATCTAAAGAAATTCAGTTTTAATGAAAGTATATTTCCCCAAACGCTACAAGCATGATTACTTTTAAAATTGATTTTCAGCTCAGTGTTAACAGTGTGTCATGCTTCTGTTTCCAGTATTTTCCATATCTTTCCAGTGTTTTATATTTCCATCATGGTATTTTTCTAAACTGAGGGGTTGTACAGCACACTTTACTTACTACAACTAAGATACAAGTAATAAAAATACATGTTCAGAAAAAGCCAAGAAAAGTCATAAATAGCAAGTACTGGTATTATGTACTTTGGATTTTATCCAGTGGCTGTTTTCTTGTAGCTGTGTGGTGGAGCTGACAGCTGCTTCAGGATAAATGGCTTCTGTAACTGATTCTGTGTCTCCTCTCTTCCAGGAAACACCCAACTTTGTTTTCCTGGTCATGGAGGTAAGTATAGAAACATTGACTGTCTAGATATTTCATGAGTCAGAAGTCACATCCTCTTCTCATGTGTTGTCTCTCTTGCTGGGGAAAATGTAGTTTTCCACTGTAGCAGTAAGATAAGATAATTCTTTATTGATCCTCATAGGGGAAATTCGGGAAATTCAGTACTTCAAGTCTTCATTACACAGTAATTTTTTACCCCTACTGGTCTAGTGTAGGCTTCACTGCTGTCCTGCTGTCATTACTTTCTCTATTTTTTTTCCCCCCATTTTCTTTCAAACTGTGTCCAAATTTGCTCTGTTAACCTGTTGACAACCTCTCACTTGGCATCCTCCCTGATGTTCTACACGTGTTTCGCAACACTCTCAGCTGCCTGCAGGATAGAAAACAAATCATGACTGCACCTCAGGTTACTCACTAGGAATTGTTTTCTTGTTTTCTAGGAATTGTGTTCCTCAAAAGCCTTTGCTTAAAGTCTTGTTTTGATCAAAGTTTGGAGAGGTCTGCAGTATACTCCATTATTTTCGTTATTTTTTGAAAACTTAGTGCTACATTAATATGAGGGTAGTGACAGTTTTTTCATTATGTTGTTTTCACAACCAACACGGTTAAAAGACAAGACAGGCAGTTTGTTTTTTGATAAATTACTTTTCACAAGTATATTTTCCAATTTTCAGCTATCAGGTGGAATAAGGAATATTACAAGGGCCATGCCCTTGCTGCAATTTGAAGTATAAACCTCACACTGGCTGAATCAAAGCTGATGCCTCATGTTTTGCTTAGATGGAGAAAGCTTGTCTTACTCAAACGTTGGCTAAAGTATCAAATGAAAGTCCTGTGAAAAGATGAATGCACTGAGCTAAGTGTAATCCTAACGAAAAGAATACTGTGCCCTTTGCACACTCTGTCCGTCTGAAAGAAAAATACAGTTAATAAGTTGGAACAGTGAGTGTTTGAAATAGAGAAAGATGTTTGGAACATTTAGTGCCATCCTCAGTCATACAGCAACGGGTGTAGCTTAAATAAGACTCAGATACTTGCATGTAAAATGAAGCCGGCCAGACAGAAAGACAACATGATAGGTACAGTAGCTAAAGGCATGCCTCTCTCATGTTGACTCTGTCTTTATAGTCCTAGCATTTAATTATACAGCTTCATAAAGCCTGAACTGACTTCTTCAATTCAACTAGATCACAAAATGCTACTTTCAGGGAGACAGACAACCTGATTATTTTTTTTGTGGTTTTTAGCATCACTGGTGAAGAAATTAAAAATAATTTGATGCTTAAACATTCTCCCCCAATCTTTGAATTTCTTAAAATGTGATCCTCACCTCCTTCCTAATTGAAAAAGAATCTATATATGTGCAATCACGTCAAAAGTGGATTGGAACTTAAAATATGTGAGTTGAAGGGGTATATTTTATTTTTTGTTCGTTCTTTACATGAATCATACGCTATGGTGTTCAATCACCAGCTCTCAACCCACCAAACACCTGTGGGACGTTGTTGGAGTGATGTGTCACTATGTTGACCCACTGAGCATGACACAAAATTAGTCCCTGTTCATGTTCTGTGGGACATGAGTGAATTTCATTGAAGGGAACAGTGGATTTCCACTAAATGAGAGAGTGACCTTGAGCGGAGAAAATTTTCAAGAGGGCAAAATTTGCTCAATACTTCTACAACTGCCATGACGAAGATTATTCAGTTGTAGACTATGAAGCTTAGTCTCTGCTGATTCATATTGTGACGTCTGTGTGTCCACCACCTCTAACATCCAGCAACAGAGGGTGTATGTTACACAATGTGTGTGAACCAGCATGCCATGTATTAGCTTCAAAGGTCGACACTCTTGCAGCAATGAGATAATAGCAGAGGTGACGCGTCTGATTGGTTGGCTTCCAGTTGGCATTCATGTTAAGACTTTATCATGCTACCTTAATGGACAGTTGCATAACTACATATAGGTAGTTGTTGTTACATTGATTATTGTGCTACTTTCTAGTCTGCTTAGAGAACACGTTCCATATATGCACAATAGATTGGTGTCTACATTCTCCATGCAGGCACATTACTGCTGAGCATATACACCGGTGCCCTTTGTAGTGTAGTTGTGGACAGTCCATGCAGACACCAATTCTGGGCTTCACGCAGATGTCCATAGAGGGATACACGTGAACTCCTGCAAACGAATGACAAAATTCTGCACAAAGTACAAGGCCAGTGTAAAGGCTAGTTCATGCTTTCCACATCCCTATGCACAGGTCGATGTAGGCTTTGAAAGCAAAGAACAGACACACATTCATCCATCCATTATCTATACACTACTTAGTCCTCATTAGGGTGGTTGTGAGGTGGGAGCCTGTCCCAGCTGACTTAGGGCAAAGGCAGGGGACACCCTGGACAGGTTGCCAGTCTATCACAGGCCTACACATTGAGACAAACAAGCACACTCACATTCAAGATGGGCTATTTAGAATCACCAACTAACCTCAACATGTTTTTGGACTGTCGGAGGATAATCTGGTGAGAACCCATGCTGCACGGGGAGAACATGCAAACTCTACAAAGAAAGACCCAAACGCCAACCGGGGATCTTCTAGCTGTGACGCGACAGTGCTAACCACTGTGCAGCCCGCGGCCACACATGGTTTCATTAAAACGACAATACACATACTGTAAGGTACGCCTCTCAGACAACGCCTTGTCCCTTTTGGTGAACGTAGAAAAACAAATGGATCTTCCATGCAATATTTTTGAATGGCTGCACTTTTTCCTGTAGCCAAATTTGTGATTATTGCTGAGATGTGGTGAGGACAGTGGGTGGACACAATGTGGGTTTTTGTATTTTAGCACTGTTGATGAAAGCCATGTCCAAATCAAAACACCTCCAAAGCCCGATAGCGCTCACTCCATTTATACACCCTTTCAACAATGAATTATAAACTTATGGATGCAGAGCGTCTCTTTGTGTAGTCTGTTATCACAACAAGCATTTGTTTCAAGCATAATTTTTTTTTTCTGGTACATGTGCAGTTGGTACTCTTGCAGTATGTACAGTCTACCTTGCAGATGATGTCATTTCTGCCAAGCGTACCTTTGCAGACCCTGAGTATGTGAGAGTCCCTCAGGGTCCGAGAGGATTGACGTCTATTTCGTCATGTCCCCAAGTACGAATCTGCTTGGACCCCTCTTTGGATGTCCACATGCAGGCCAAAATCGGTGTCTATGCAGACGGTCTGCATGCTGACTGTGCTACAAGAACAGCAGTGTGCACGACTGCCAGTGGTTTCTGTGTGTGGGCGGAACATGTTGACATTGATCCCACTATGTACGTGTGAAACCGAGTAGAAAGTAGTGTCATAGACAGTGAATGGTGGAAAACACCGGCCTCATCTGTTGTCCTTGTTGTCCTTCTTGAGAATCAAGTGCACTCCAGCCAGTGTCTGTAGTGATAAGGCTCCAGGCATTCAGCAGATTAATTAATGAGCCAGCCATTATCTGATCGGATTTGAACAACCATTCATGTAAACATACAAAGACAGACTCAAACACAGATGTATGCACATTAACAAAATGTGCTACTTGGCTTGACATTATTAAACCTGAATTTGAATTGCTGCTGATGCTGATTGTTTGTCTCCCCATACACAGTACTGTAACGGAGGTGATCTTGCTGACTATCTGCAAGGTAAGCATCGCACTAATCTGTCTGACACACTCACACACAGATTATTGTTCATCAAAACAAAGTTACTAATGCCGCAGAGGAGGAAAAGCCATGTGACTGCAGCTATTACGAGTGTAGGTGTGGGATTGTGCGCACGTGATGGTGCATTTATCATCTCGGTGTGATGGCTAGTATGTGGAATATTGTAAGCCGGTATCATGTGGGGATGTTCAAGTGTGTGTGCATGAGCGGTTGTTTGTATGTTTCTATGTGGGGGATGTGTGTGTGTGGGAATCACAGCAGCGTTGCACAAAGGCTTCCTTCTCTTCCTTCACCCTGTCAGCATACTGCATATGTCACTGTGATAGTTTATAAAGGTCAGCATTTCTGGTTGAAGAGCAACAAGTCAGCTCAACATGAAATAATTAGTAAATTGGATTAAAAGTGATGTTTAGAGGTTCTGTTTTACATGGCTGAACTACTCAACAGTGAAAATGAAGAATATAACAAAGCATGTCAAGTAAAAGACAAGCCCATCCATTTACTCTACTGTTTCAGCCTCAAGTTTTGCGTTACCACTAGAGTGTAGTGACATCATGGCCATAGGATGTCTCAGTCTGACAGCAAGGGTTTATAGTTGCAAGAGAGAAAACCAGAATGTCAAGTTCAATGTTTATGGTTTTTCAGTTTAGATGGCAGACATTCTTAAGTGAGTCAAGGCTTAAGATTTAATAAAAAATACAATAAGTCTCCTCCACAAACAGGTGTTGCATTCCCTTATGATAAGGCAAGATAAGAAACACTGATTAAACAGTGCCAAAGACATATTGCAAAATAAGTTTGTTGACAAGATACCATCTAGGTTATATATCACATTGTGTTTTGTGTACATTTGTTGTTTGGATACTAAGCAAATTTTCCTGAAACAATGCGGTTTATCTGTGGCCCAGCCTCATCTCACAGGTTTTGAGCTTCAGAATGGTGAACCAACCTCATTTGACACGCTGTTAAGTGCCCAAACAGAGTGAAACACAATATTTTGTCGCGGTTGCTGTGAATAGTTTCACAGAAGTAGAATCACATTGGCTTCTGGAATCACAAATACCTCTGTATAAATGGCAGTTTGCCAATGCATGTCTTAGATAACCACACGTGTTTACACCTCTGTTCCATAAAAACACTGATTGTGCTGTTGGAGCAGCTCTCTTATCACTGTACCTTTGCATAATGTCCTAATGTGTCCACATTTGCCGTGTATGAAGTGTGCCGCAGTTCTGGATCACCCTGTGACTCAGTCCAGGAGTCTCTGCTTGAGTAACACTGGTGGTTGCAAAATGACACCTGTGGAGTCGTAGTGAATCATTGTTGGTAGTTTTACAGTGTTCTGAACAGAGTTGTGATTTTGGTTTTACCACTGGGGGGCTTCTGTATTGCACTGCGTAGGTAACAACCAAACTAATTATATAAGGGGGTCTCTGTAGTGAATGATTCTGCCACTTACACAACTTTTTCACGTTATAAGTTAGTCCACTGTGGTTGGCAGAGAGAAGCTACCCCCCCAAATCCTAGATTAATGTTGATAAGCTTACTGGTTTGATCTATGCCTACACCACTGTAATCACAATGGCTTGAGAGAGAGAGAGCGAGAGAGAGGGAGAGAGAGAGAGAGAGAGAGAGAGAGAAACAGAATAAGTACATGAGAGAGAGGAATCCTCTTAGTCTCACATCCGATTAGACTTGTTTCACTACCACCAGGGAATAGGACCTTCACTGCCTCAGTTTACACTATTTACCTCAGGATTATTACTATAATATGCAAATTATTAGCTCTAATCAAGTGAGGCTAATGAGCACTTTTTGGGGATTTTTCCATGCTTGTGATGTGAGAGCAGCTGTAGTGTGGGAAAAAAAAGTCTTTCAGTGTGTTTCTGTATTACCTCTGCAACATGTCAGTATGGACTAATTAAACTAGTCATTAAACTGCATCATTAGCAGCAGGAAGCACCTGAATCAAATCAATAGGCAAACCAGTTATCCAGGGACACAATGGGGAAGAAGGTGCATCTTAATGAGCAGATTTGCTTAAGTAAGCAGGTCTGAGCACTGAAGAACTTTCAGCTGTTATTGCTTCAGTGTCCATAAATGTACACTGACAAACAGCAACATTGTGTGCTCTGTCCTGAGTTATCATCGTTTGTTATGTATGCTCTGTTTTAGCTAAGGGGACGTTGAGAGAGGACACTCTGAGGGTTTTCCTCCAGCAGATTGCTGCTGCCATGCGCATCCTCAACAGCAAAGGAATCATCCACCGCGACCTGAAACCCCAGAACATCCTGCTGTCATATGCAGGTCGCAAGAAGTCCAACATCAGTGGCATCCGCATCAAAATAGGTAACAGAAGTACAAAAATTGGTTGTTTTCTGTCATTGTATAGACAGTGTGACTCACTTTTATGTAGACTTCAGGTATAAGCCTGTCATTACCACTGCACACTTTATTTGAGCATCAGGTGAATAGCTATCTATTAGTCAAACACAAAAAAATGTTTTGGCAGCTGTAGTATTGTAATAAATGTATTTCTAACTACACTGATGGTGTTTTCCACCACTATCCTTGCTCTATTCTGAGAGAGCATGTGTGTTATTGTTCTGAGTGTTTCTCTCCCAGTCATCCAGAGTCCAACAATAGTGGTTTGTGTTACTAGTAATAATAACACGTGTGTACTGACTGGTTTGTTTCATGCTTCTGTCCTGCAGCTGACTTTGGCTTTGCACGGTACCTCCAGAGCAACATGATGGCAGCCACGCTATGTGGGTCACCCATGTACATGGTCAGTGTGCTTTAATGCATATGTGTTGTGTGTGTTTGTCTAGAATTGCATTTGAGGTCCGTTATTAATACAAACATGTAACATTTGTCAGCCTGCTTAACAGTTTGTTAAATAACTCCCCCTGTTTTGGATCTTTACTTGTGATCTTTCATCTCTCAGGCCCCAGAAGTCATCATGTCCCAGAACTATGATGCCAAAGCTGATCTGTGGAGCATAGGGACAGTTATCTATCAGTGTCTGGTCGGCAAGCCACCATTCCAGGTTAATACTGTGCACAATAAACCATGAACAAATGGGTTTGCTGATGTGTGTTTGTGCACCTAATTACTTTATTCACATTTGCAGGCCAACAGTCCCCAAGACTTAAGGATGTTTTATGAGAAGAACAAGAATCTACAACCTATGTAAGTCACTTCCTTGACACTGTGTTTTTTAGCTTTTGTGGGTGTAAAGTGACACTTCAACAAGACATTATTTGATAAATTTGTGACATTCATGGCTTGAACAAGTGAGAAATAATGTATACAAAATAGAGTTTGCATGCTTGTTTGCATGACGTGAACATTTTGTCCTACACGGGAAGCAGGGAACTTGTAAGATGCTTTTGCACAGTCAACACGCATCCGAAGAGAAGCCAAGTGTTAATGTTTCCATGCTCTTATTTACCAGCATCCCAAGGGAGACATCCGCACAACTTAGTGACCTTTTGCTTGGCCTGCTGCAGAGAAATCAGAAAGACAGGATGGACTTTGGTGAGTACTGACATTATAGTAAAGTCTTTAAAGAGCAGATGTTAAATGTATATGGTTTTACACACTTTGTGATGTGCTCTAATGCTTGTTAAAAAAACTGTCTTTCTCCCTTCCCTCTCTGCAGATACATTTTTCAGCCATCCTTTCCTGGAGCCCTCATCCACGATTAAAAAATGTAAGCACAAAGGTCACATTCCCAAGCAGCAGAACGTTCTGCACTACATTGTCCAACTTTAAACCATGATTAATTGCGAGTATGTTCCCCTCAGCATGTCCAGTGCCGGTCCCCAGCGCCTCCAACACTGTGACGGACAGTTCCTGTGGCAGCTCCCCATGCATCCGCTACAACTCTCCTCCTGTGAGTTTGATATTACTTTGTAAATCCTTATTCAGAGGGGATTACACTTACACTGCAACTAAGATAATAAAATTTTAACCACACCTCCCTGGTGTTATGCTCCCATTGTGCTTTTCTTACTGTTTCCTGTACAAACAGTACCTGAAGACATAAACCTAGTGTCCAAAAACTTAAATACACAGATCCTTTGTAAAAAAACACATTGTCGGAGATTTTCAGCTCATCATGTGTTTTCTGCAAGCCAACTTCTAAATGACTTCTGTGAACACTGCTTGTATGAGTGCTGCTGCTGCTACATTTATTGCTAGTTATAACAATCTCCTTGCAGCGGCTCGTCTCATTTCACAGCGCTAGTGGGAATGCAGAGCAAGTCAATTTCCCAGGATGTCAGTGTTCTTTGTAACAATGTGATTGTATTAGTTTGACAGTCAGCACTGCCCTGCCTGGAAGCCCTAATTGCATCATTCAGGAGCCACACTACAACTTAATCCTCTTTATTTTTTTTCTCCTCTTCCTCCTTCTGTCTGAACACACAGTCTCTCCCAGACATGCAGACTCTAGCAGAAGACGGTCTGTCGTCCCCTCCGCTCGGCCCGCCCAACTTCTTACAGCTGTCCAAGGAGTCTGCAGGAAGTACCAGCAGTAAGAATTCCTCCTGTGACACTGACGACTTTGTCCTGGTGCCTAACATCTCTACTGACAGCTGTAAGTGTCAGCACACACACATTGTATGTACAAATAAATACACCTGTAAATTCACTTAGGTGTAACTAGGAAGTGCAGGAATTACCAGTGAGACAAAAAAAACCCTCATCAGACAATAAAAATAGGAACAACATTTGATTTAAAAAAAAAAATTAACATGCAACAATCAACAAAAACATTATCAATTAATAAAAAACAATGAGAGATGCAGTAAATATGACCAACACTTTAATCATTGCATTTGTTTCATTGGTATTGATGAGATCAACTTTAAGTTTTGTTCAAACATTTTCCAAGCTTGTGGGGCAAAGTAGCAGTCTTGCAGTCTCTCTGTTGTGATGTTAGTAAATGAATGACTTTCAAGACTGCCATAGTCAGTATTTCTAGATTTTAAAAACAACATCCATTTTGTCTGTAAATTCTTAAGGAAAGCTTCAAAATAATGAGTTGTTTATAAAGGCGGTTAAATGACTGTTGTAGATTTGAAGTGGCTCTTTTAATAGAGTATGCACAGGAATGAGGGACTGTGTCATCTGCATAAAGTTGTAAGTTACAGTTGTACAATGCAGAGGTAGTTTTGTTTAAATAATTAATAAATAAAGCTGATCCAAGGACAGAACCATGGAAGACTCCCTTTGTAACGCTGGAAAAAGAGGGCTGAATATTACTTAACTTATTCTGAAACTACTGGCAGCTACCTTTGCCAAAAACCAGCAAAAAAGTATTTTTTGAAGCAGAGAGTGGTTAGCTGTGGTGAAAGTCTTTGTGATATCAGTTAAAAGTGCAATCTCAGCCTTTTGCAATGTAAATCTGAGACTATATCATTAATAATATATATTGTGTTTTTATGATGGCACAGCTTAATGTTGCATTAATCGGACAGCATACTGTTCCAGTAAGCGTCATATTTAGAACTCTTGTTTTGATACAGCCAGTGAACTCTTGTATAAAGTATGTATCATGGGCAGAGCAGACAGTCACACTGACCCAAACAGCAGCTGCGACACAACCCAAGAACCACAGACTCAGAGCAACAACCCACATTAGCTGTGCTGCTCAAGTCTCTTTGTTATGTAACTTACAAACATTTACACACAGCTTGTCCTGCACCTTAGCGTGTTGGATGAGCTACCAAACAAACAAGTGAGGACAAGTAGATTGGTAATATCAGTTGGCACTCTAGATAGCTAATTAGCTGTGTCTCCAGTTGTATGCTGTGTAATGCTGGCACTCTGACATCCTGCCAGCTCCTGTCAATCAAATACCAACACACTGATTTGACTCCAAAGATGTTCTTTTCTTTCAATATCAAAAACAAACAACGCAGATGAAATTGTCATTATTTTAGATTGTGGAATGTACAACTAAGCTTGCATCTTGTGTCATAGTTGTGATGAAGAAAGTCATTTTCTTTTATTTTGATGGTCAAAGACCCCTGAATTCATTCCCTGTTGCCATGTGTTTTCCCATCACCCTTTGTCATGTGTTTTCCCATCACCCTTTGTCATGTGTTTTCCCATCACCCTTTGTCATGTGTTTTCCCACCTCCTGCCACAGACCCCCGATTCCACCCCCTGTTGTTCATTGTCCCCCTACCTCCTGTCATTTGATTAGCAACTGTATGCTATCAGAACCCTGACTCCACCACCTATCTGGTCACCAGACTCCGATTCCACCACCTGTGGTTCATTGTCCCCCCCTTACCTCCGGTGATTTGATTAGCAACTGTATGTTAATTTACCTCTATTCACCTCTGTATTTACATACAGGCCGCCCCCTACCCTCTGACTTACCCTATAAATGTGTGACTCTGCAGATGTTCAGGGTCGGTCCACCTTCACAGACTCATGCTCTTAATATTTTAGGCTGCGTGACCATAAATCCTTTGCTTTCTGTTCCAAGACACAGTCAGAGGAACCACTCACCTTCCCCACAACAATTTCACTTCACTTGATGCAAAAAAAAAAAAAAAAAGAGCAAAACCTGCATGGTTTCTTTAGATAATTTAACCAGCTCTGCTGTGCTTGGATGACATTTTCTAAAACAATCTCTCTTTATATTGTTCATCCCAAAACATGTCTCCAGCCTATTACTGTACATTCATAGATTTACAGTATGTAGTCCAATAAATGAATGCCCTACAGTGCTTAGCCTTACCACAATTACTGTTTCCATGAAGTCATACAGGCTCAATTTGCACAATTTATATTTTACTTCACGATGATGAGGTTTGGTTATGTCTAAGTGTGAAGAAATACAAATACCTAGAATTAATAAGAGATCCTAATTTAAGTTTAAGGTTTAAGCATTTAAACATATATTTTGCTCTCAGCTATTGCAGAGAAAAATTCTTTGTAGATAACCTTGAACAAATAAAGGAATATCAGTTGCTTGTGTTACTTACAGTATGAATTATGACCTTTGTTCACAGGCATAAACATATTAATCTGCATGTCCAGCACATGGTCATACACGAACATCTGTTCTGGACAAGAATGCAGATATCTTGAAACTGTACACATTAATAGACTCACTATGGCTACGATCCACGTGTAGTGAAGTCACACTCACTACCTGCTAGTGATACCTACAGCGTACATACTCACACACACGCAAAGCACATGTCACCAAATCTACAGCCAATAAATTAGACAGCTGCTAACCATTTCATGCTGTAATTGTAGACAACGGTCCGCAAACAGCAGGCACACACACTTACCCTCTTGACTGGTAAAATGAACCTTCATGCTCCGCACCTGCTGCAACAAGCACATACACAGACGCACACATCCACCTGCTTGTCCTCCTCTCAAAACACAAACAGTGCAAGAAGCGACGGGCAGCGCAGAGTGTTGAGAGTGTCGGCTGGCATTTTGAGTGCCATTTTAATCAGCTAATAACTAGTGATTTATACATCAAGAAAAGCCGTTGCTCCTTTGTCATTGTTATCTTTCCTTCTTTCATCCTCCTCAGATGACCAACCAATGGGAGCTGGTCGTCGGGCGTCCAGCGAGTTTCTCATGTGTGGAGGGTGAGTACGAGACTGTTGTAACACACTCAGCATAGATCATGATGAGGCCTGAACAAGAGTTATAAATGATAGGTACTTCTAGAAAGAGAAATGAAAACTCTACAGGAACCCTGATTCAGTGAACAGTACAATTTAAAATGAAGGAATAGTTTCACAATTTGTAAAATAGTACATTTCTTGTGAAACTTAGCTTATCATAAAGACTGGAAAAAGGAGGAGGCTAGCTCTGTCCAAAAGTAACAATAACTGCCTAACAGCCCTTCTAAAGTTCACTGGTTAAACTTGTTTGTTTAACCTTTACAAAGTCGTAAAATTCTCAGCTTAGTTAGAATTTTACATACAAAACTGTCAAAGTACCGTTAATACAAAGCTAAGTCATGTAATAATTAGCCCGAGTAATGTTCACCTTTTGTGGATGCTGCTATTCTGGTGTCAGAACATCTGCCTTTCCTGAGGTTAGGGTGAGGTTAGGGTGCACAAAACTGATTGTTGGTTTCCCAGTTGGGCTCTGACTTTGAGCGCCTTCATTCCCTTATACTTTTAAGTAGGAAGCTGGAAATAGTTGAAACTCTCAGGAAAAAATGAAACAAATTTCAAATTTCAAACCTCAGTGCCCTTCAACAGTTAATGTTTATTAGCTGTGTTTTTTGGCAGATCAGTTGGCTTACACTGGCAGACTTACAAAGCTATTTTTTTTTACAAATATCATTAGAAGGCCTCAATGAATGCTGAAGGTGCTGTTGATTTGAATGTAGCACACCGTCTCTAAGTCATCAGACACAGCTAATGCAGTATGAACTGGGTGTTGTCGGTGCAGTGAAAGTGTGGCATGATGCTGTGAGTCAGATTCCATTTCACACTCACCCTTGAGTTCACATGTAGTGTATGCATGTAAGGTCACAACATCTATTCTCGGCGTGTTTTTGTGTCAGAGAGGCTTCCTTTGTGTCTTTGTGTCACTATTTCTGTCTCTCTGACCACCAGAAAAAAAAAAAACAGCCTTGTCTCAGCTTTATGCCACATGTCACACACACACACTGTCCATTTGTCATGTGTGAATACTCCTCTCCACCTTTAAATCTGCATGATTAGTGAGTTATGAATCAGAGCCAAACAACAAGGTGGTGCTGTGCTAAAAATGGCACCTGACCCATGGAGTGCTGTGTGGATAAGAATAGCCTCACACACTCGCCAAAACTTGCCTGCATTAGCAAACTGTGACTGTTATTACTGTGCCTCAGCTGTGCATTAAAAGGTGAGAATATGCTCACGTGGACCCCGACCACATTCTTTCAACACAGCAGTATTGACTGTCCTCTTTCACCTCTGATTTAAATCCAGTAAGTTGAGTTTAATAGTACTGACTGTACCTAAGACACAATCACACCACATGTCCAGCAGTTATCCTGATGCTGTTCAATGTTGTGCTCATTTGTGGTTTTCAACCTTTCATTAGCTATACTTAATCAAGAAAGATTTGATTCTTAATTGTAGATATGGATTTTGCTGTTGGAACTTGAAATCATCTTCAGATATAATAAAAAGCTGTCAAATTCATCTGTTTTGCTGATCTGTCCAGACTGTGTCTCCCCTTCGCCCTAAGATAGCCGTAATCCTCTACAGGATAAGGCAGTGTATTGATAAAAGATGGATGGATCTATTTTGCTCTATTCATTCCTGCTCAGTGTTGCTGTTACTCCTTTGTTATGTTCTTTCTCTTCCTTTTATCTGGGAAGGCATAAAGCTTATTCTATATTTGTCTCCCTGCCAGCAATTATGACAAGTGTAGCAACACATTTCTCAATATGTTCTGATTATTATTCTGACTTCCCTGTCCTGTCAGTGTCAAATCCATTGCTTCCTTTTTTTTTTTTTTTTAAAGGCTATGCAATTCCTTTAACCAGCTGATTATTCACAATTGTTAATAGATTAGTACATTGTATATATTGGAGCAAAGGTATAGAATCTATCTATATCAGACTTTAGATAAACGGAGAATACTTTGTGACCAGGATACACTGATTGTCGTTTTAGGCCTTTTCATGGGTGTTGAATGATGTCAGACTTACTTTTAAACTCTATTATTAGGATATTTTTAAACACAATAACACGCATCATGCTCACCAGTTATTTTCATGCAGTGTATATTTTCCGAACTATCATTAGCAATCTGTAATCCTTGTAGTCTAGACAGCTTTGTTTGTAGCAAAAATGCCGACACTAATTTAAGTTTAGCTTCAAATTTAAATTTAAATGCTTAAGTTTTGCTTAGTTACTTACTAAAATTCTTCTGTCTGTCACTCTTGGCTCTTAGTCATGCTTCCCCTCTGTCTCTTAATAACATGCAGGCAGAAACTGCTTTACACCTCGTCCATCTCCTGTCTTTCCTGTTTGCATGTGTCAACAGCCTCAAGCAAAACTGCTCTATGTCATCCCTCTTCCCTTTTCGGTTACATTCACTCGATTTCGCCTTTGTTGCTGTTCAGTCTCTGTCTCACCCCCCTCTAACCGTTCTTGCTGCCAGCTTTGCTCCTTCCCTCTGCTGTCCTCTTCACAGTTTTCACCATAGCAATAACTCCTCTCTGCTTACATAAATTAGTTAACCATTGACACAGGAGTTGTCCCTTGCAATTTAGTAACAGCGGCCACACTCTGAAGGACCTCCTAAATCACAGTCTTGTTTATCCTTTGCTCACTGTGTGTCCTAAATTATTGGAGTCAAGGGACAAGATTGAGGGTGGAAGAGGAAAGGAGTGTGGACTTGTGGGGATGGATAGGAGAGCAGAAGAGGAGAATGTTTGAAAAGACATTATCATTGTAAAGAAAGCAAGAGATTAGAGAAAGATACGAGAGACAAAGCAAGCAAATGAGTGTCATTAATGAGGAGAAACAGAAGTGACAAGTTTGCATAGGCTGAAATTGTTCAATCCCATCCCCCTCTATTGGAAACCAGGTCAGCAGAGAGGCAGCTGACTTGCAGATCCATTCTCTCTCCTCTTTCCACTCTTGGCTGTTTTTAAAAAGCAGCTGTTCACTGACCTACAAATTTTCATTCTCCCTTTATACCAAGGTAACAACAGCACACAACACCCCTCTCCACATTAGGCCTTGAAGGCTGGAATCGATAAAGCTTTTAGCAACCTGGAGAAAAATAGAAAGCCTTCACTGTATCTGATAAATTCTTGATTGGTGTTTAAGCATGCTGAAAAGAACAGCACGTGGTTGTGTTCAGATTTGCAGAAATCCCACAAAGCAACTGCTCTCTGGTTCTTTGTCTGGACTAGTCTTTGCCTCACGTGTCCTCCTCCTCTCTGCACTGTAGGCCCTCCCAGGCTTCACATCATTACATAATACTAGTTTACAACCGGTGCTGCTCTCTAACGGCCGTTCCCTCCACTCTTCCTCTTTTTTTTTTTCCTGCATTCTATACGTAAGAAAAGGCGCTCTGTGGGTGACTCGGCCCTGACTTTAGATTCAGAACATTTTGTCTCCTCTGGAATAACAAAAGAATGCAAATGAGCTGAGCCTCTTTGCACTTCCCTTACTGTGTCTGCTGAACACAGAGGACCTCCCTCACACGTGCCATTGGCCGTCCCACTCTGTAACCCGGCCCCAAGAAGAGCGAGCATGAAGCTGATTGGCCTTGACTCTGTGTTTACATCGAAGCCTGGCCCACTTTTTTTTTTTTCACCCACTGACTCTGATTAACCAGGCTAAACTTAAGTTCCACAGCCTGCCTCCACACCGGAGTAAACAAAGAACTGTAGGCTGTTGAGGCAAAGTTCCTGCAGTTTTGAGCTATCCTGCTTTATGTCTTGCTTCTTACTCAAGCAGTTTGGAGATTTAGGTTATTATGGGAGTTGACACCCCTGAAGATGTGCTGCAGATATGTAGGCTGCAGCAGCCTCGAGCGGACTGGCTAACTGCACTCCTCTCCCCGTTTTTCCCCTCAAGGCAACCACAGCCCACCCCAGGACAGACTCCCATGGTGTCCCCACGGGCTGAAACAACACCAATCCCTGTTCCCACCCAGGTCCGCAACTACCAGCGAATCAAACAGAACCTCTCCAGCAGCCCGACCACCACGCTCTACAGCTCCCCAAGGTAAGAGACGCTGGGTCTGGCGGGGAGGGGGGGACAACAGTGCGGAGTGAACTTTGCATTATTTATGTCGTATTGATTTGTAATCAAACAACTGGAATGGGCACCTGCTTGTTGATATCAGCCTGTGATTTATGTTTAATTCACCACAAATTAATTTTCAAGTTTGGTAATGAAAACTCAGGCTGGTATTTCATCAGCCATAAAGTTTCAGTGAAATTACATCAGCTAAGTGCCTGCTTGAGTTCCCAACCTTTTGCTGGGAGGGTTTGTCGGCAGTTTATGTGAAGACGAAGCAGGGAGGATGTGGGTTGGGAGGCAGAGGAACGGCGACGGGTGTCACCTTGTTTCAGAGGAAGGGTAGTTCTGTTGTTTCTATTTACAGTCTGATGTCTGAAGGGGAGAAGTTTTCTTGTGCTGACTTCGTTGTGGGCTTGTGGGCTCTGAAGATTAGAATTTTTTTTGTTATGTTTCTGGCTCATTCAGTTAATCTCTGTGTTCCCGCGGCAGTTAGATCGTGGAGCACAGGTACTGTACCTTTCACCCACGACCCCTGGCTGTGTCTCTCTGTTCATAGTGGGACAGCCTTCCTGTCTCGTCAGTCTGTACAGGGAGGATTAACACTCTGATACTCCGTTTGACCTATCAGAGGCCCACCTCAGTGAGTTAGGATTATTGTTCTCACTGTAGGGAACAACATTAAAGGAACTGTAATTTGATTCCAATGGGAGGATTTACAGCAAACTTTCAATGTAAAGTAAACATTTCGTCTTTATATTTTATTTCCTCCTTGCAACATAAAGGTACCTGGAGTCAATTTTGAGCATTAGTCACTCTCCTGAGCCATGTTTTGACAAGTGGGTCTTTATTTGTTAGTATTGTGTGCACCACATACAAATAAGAGTGACATGATCCATATTACTGCAGACGTTTCACTTATTCCACTGAGAGTTTGTTTTGGTAACGCAGCAAGAAACAAGAGCAGTGTTACCAAAAAAAGCAAGGAAGAAACAGCTGGCAAGCAAACATGGATGTAAACATGCAGGATCTATATAAAACACATTTTTAAAAAATCACCTGTGAGGAAGGAAATGCATTCTCTGTGTTTGTTAGACATTGATGATAAACACTGTATGTTTTGGTGAGTAACGAGACATCACTTCATAGCATCCCTAAGATGATGCTGCATATCTTTGTGATTACACGAGGCAATCAAAAAATACTGCTACTTTGCGATTGCTTGCAATTGTACCACTTTTTTGCTGATAAGTTTTGAGATGGGCAAATTAGTAGTATGCATAACAAATGCTCCCACACATGTTTTGTATTTGTGACTCAAATCCGTGTGTACAGTACTTACCACTGTAATGGGTTGTCTCAGCAGCCAAACAAGTATTTACCAAATGACGAAACTGGCTGAAATGAGCCAAAGGGAGAAGAGAGAAGTGACTAGAGAGATTGTAGTTGATGAACTAAATACTTGATGAAGCCAAGAATTGCTTTGATTTATTTATTTATTTCAACTTGAATCCTTGGATTAGTTCAGTGTTGAATAAGCTCTAAAACCTGAGTGACCTAAAAGCTGAAAGACCTTCGTGTCTACTTATTTTGTGATGCATGTTAATATTTTTTTTCTTTTAGGTCTGGCACTGTAAGGCGCTCCAACACTAGTCCAATGGGGTTCCCCAAGGTGGGCTCAGGGTCCCCCAGCTCTGCAGACGTCCCCCAGACAGTGGGCCGGCGCCTTTCTACAGGCAGCTCCCGGCCCTACTCCCCCTCACCTCTCGGTATGGATTTCACCAGACATGTCTCTAAGCACATCAGTGTTATTATGACACCTTCTAGACATGACAGGGACATTTCCAGAGGCTCACAACAAAATTTACTATTTGTGTTTGCAGTGGGCACCATCCCTGAGCAGCTGGGTCACTGCTGCTGTCACCTGCAGAACCAGGAGCCTCGCAGCCGCAGCTCCTCAGGAGGTCAGTTCACAGGCAAAACTGCCCTGTAAACCGCCCGGTCACTGCGTGGTTGCACATCTTACTGTGTCATCTCGTTCACTTAGATAAGACTTAGCCTTAATGGTCTTGTGGGGAATGTGAGTTGTTGAAGCAGTAAATGATAAACCGTTAATACTTGGACAAACAAACATCAAAGCTGCAGTACGAAGGATGTACAAATGGATACAAAGAAGACAAGTTTGTTATTCATTGTAAGACAGAAGTTTAAATGAACACTGGCAGGGAAAAAAAAATGGCAACCCTTGATGAAAAACAGTGCATTATATTGTTCTTGATTTTTAAGTTTAGCAGAATTAAAAGCATGTGCATTCAGGAGCTGTTGTTTTGGTTCTCTCCTCTGTGTCATGACTTTATTTTTGACAAAGTGCATTAGTCACCATGAGTCAAGGCAAGTCTCTGACGCTGCTGTTATATCAACATTGCAGACGCCCTAAAACTTCTTTACTGTTTGCGTCAAGAGATTTGCTGCCATGGTGACCATTTTTTAAATAGGGAAGCTAAAGTATGCTGTCTAAAACGGTGCTGTAGCCAGACAGACAGCCCTACTTTGTCCCCTACTTGGAAAGTCACACAAACAACCAGATTTTATGACCTACACAGAGTTTCTATGGAAGGACAATTTTCTTTTGCTGACTGAGTAGAAACAGTGGCATGCTCATAAAAGTGTCTCCCACAGCATCACACCCTGCTTTTTTGCATCTGTGCAAAGCAAAGTTTAGACCTGAAGAGGTACCACAGCTGAGGGACAAATTAGGCACGAGGTTATGTCTCCTCCGGTGCATGATCAATCAGTTAATTCTCTAAATTTTGATGAAAAATTGTAGAATCCATACTAAGCCAGTTTATTTAGGGGGGGTAGTTAACTTGAGTTGTTTCTAACATGGTCCTTCTACCTTCTCCAGGTTCCCCTGTCCCGTCCTCTCAGCTCTTGGGGGCTCGACTCCAGAGCGCCCCTACCCTGACCGAGGTCTACCAGACCAGGCAGAAGCTCCACAAGCAGCTGTCAGACCCCGTGCAGCCTTCGTCGTCCTCCTCCTGTAGTCACTCCCCTCAGCTCGGGCGACCCGCCAACCTCGGCTCCTCCCCCACCAAGTTGCTTGGCTCCTCTCCTCGCACATCCGACTGGCTGCAGAAGTCCCCACTGCCCACCATCATTGGTTCTCCTACCAAGGTGAGAGCAATTAAAAGAAAGTGTGCAGATGCTAAATATTCAATTAGCTAAATGTTAGGTGCTAAAGTTTGTGTGTTTGTTTCCTTCAGACTATTTCGGCACCATTCAAGATCCCCAAAACGCAGGCCTCCTGTAACTTGATGGCCCTGGCGGACAGTCCCGTGCCCACAAAGGCTTTGGCAGATGCCCGGGATATCTGTGCCTACCACTGCAGCCCATACCTGGCCGGACGGGCAGCTGCTCCAGAGGCCAGCAGAACCTTTGGCAGGTAGGCTCATCAGTCTGTTTACGTCCCTCAACCAGAACTACACTTTGAGCACCGTCTCAGCTTCCACCGAACGAATGTTAGACTGATCAATGAATGTCAAGTTCAGGCCAGGTCACTATGACAGATCTCTAAGATGATAGACATGGTGTTTTTCAGTTGTTTGCATACAGTATTGATTTAACAGTTGATGAGTCGTATACTGTGCAGTGGTACTCATTACCCTGAATGAAATTTAGTGGTACACAATTATTCTTGGAAGTGTAATTTATTTACTTTTTTCTTCGCACAAGCTGGCTTGTTCAAATCGATTAGGAAATGAAAGAATGACGTCATTCAAAGAGTGAAATGCTGCATACGTCTGTATGACTTTGTCCCCGCTTACTCCTTTTTACCCTGTGATGTCAGTTTGTCTACCGTTGGACACTCTGCTGACGTTATCTGCGGTTGCCTTGCAGGTCTGTTAGCACAGGTCGTCTGTCGGACCAGCCAATCAGAATCACTTTGGGTGGACAGACCTATCAGGGCAGCACTGACAGCCTGAACACTGAGCGACCCATGGACACAGGTATGGGTGGACTGCTGCACGTAATCTGTACAGGGTTTACCACAGTTTTCCTTAGTTCAGTTATTTAGTTAGTTTATGAAATGACCAATGTCCTGCTCAACGTAAACAAAAAGAATTGTGTACATACTTGTTATAAATTAAATTATATAATATGCAGTGCATTACAGAAATAAATGACCAATTTTCCCCTCCCTAAAGCCCCTGCAGGTCCTAGCGGGCTGGCTCAGGGTGGCTCAGCGAGTCCTCGTACTGTCCTTTTCACTGTGGGTTCACCACCCAACAGCAGCACTCCTCCTACCTGCAGTCACCTGGGCACCCGACCACGGACCACTTCTGGTAAGAGAACCCTCCACCTGAGCTTAGCTAGTGTGCAAGCAAACCAGCTGTGGGTTGTTTGTCAGCAGCATTTATCACATAATTTTCTCCTCTCCTTGTCCTCTCAGTGGGTTCCAACAGTTCGGCCGGCTCACTGTGTTCCACCAGTGGTCGGGTCTATGTCGGATCTCCCCCAGGCATGGCCATGGGTTCCTCTCCTCCGGGAGGCTTTGGGGGAGGCCAGATTGTCCCCGGGGCAGAGGGGGCTCCCAGCAGCCTGCGCTACGTCCCTTATGGGACGTCTCCTCCCAGCTTGGAGGGATTCATCACCTTCGAAGCCCCCGAGCTGCCTGAGGAGACCCTGATGGAGGTAAGAAGGACGACGTCTGCCACATCTACACGTTTTGTCCCTATTTCTCAGCATTTTGCAGTAATGCTCATCAGTTTGACATTTTCTTGGATGTGCTCTTCTTTTTTCTCCTTCACACAGCGTGAGCATACAGACACCCTCATGCACCTACGGATGATGCTTTCATTCACCGACTGCGTCCTGGAGATGGCGGCGGTTCGAGCCGGAGGGGCAGAGCTTGGCGTGTCGGCCGCCTCCCTCTACCCTCCACAGGACAGTGTGGTTGTGGACCAGATCAGTCAGCTTAGCAAGGAGTGGGGGTAAGGAATGAAAATCTAGCCTGTCTTTGTGATAATCTTATCAAATGAATAATGTATATATATTACATACGTATAACCTCAGGAGGTCTTTTATTCAGTGATGTTGCTGCAGTCCATTTGTCTTATAAATTGTGATTTTGCTTCCCCCTACAGGCAGGTGGAGCAGTTGGTGCTCTACATGAAGGCAGCTCAGCTCTTGGCTTCCTCCCTCCATCTGGCCAAGGCTCAGATTAAATCTGCCAAGCTCAATCCTTCCACTGCTGTCAAGCAAGGTAAGGACATTTTGATCTTCCTCTCCCATTACTTGACCTAAACTGTATTGAGCACATTAAACTGGAAACAGAGGATGAGGAAGGAGGTGAAATCTGCTTTTTGACCCACTTCATTAGCAAGAGAAAGAGCTCTGTAAAACCAACCTGTGTCTATTTGCCTAACATTCAGTTTATTTCCTTAATAAAATGACACGTACAAAAAATACTGAAGTCTCTTCCTTTATTCTTTCAGTGGTGAAGAACCTGAATGAGCGCTACAAAAGCTGCATCTCGCTCTGCCGGCGGCTAACTGACAAACTCAACCATTTCTTCTCTGATAAGCAGCGTTTTGTGGATGAGATCAACAGCGTTACTGCAGAGAAGCTCATCTACAATCACGCAGTGGAGATGGTGAGTCGCACTCACGTAGCTTCTTGGTATGATGATTGAAATAATCACATAGGTAGCATGCAGCTGTAATTAGTGCTAGTTAACCTAATATGATGTGGTGTGTGTGTGTTTGTGTCTATCAGGTTCAGTCAGCAGCTCTGGATGAGATGTTCAAGCAAACGGAGGACATAGCCTACCGCTACAGCAAGGCCGCCATGCTACTGGATGGCCTGTCCAAGATCCTACAAGACCCCACTGACATTGAGAACGTGGTCAAATGTGAGTACACACTAGCACAAGCTCGCAGGCTTGAATATGCAACCATGCATATGAATGGATTTGTGGCATATACAAATGATTTAAGACTACTCCTCGCTGTCATCATTTTCCTCAAACTCAGAATTTTTTCTTTGGTACAAACAAAACTCCAGAACTGTATTTGTAATGTACATACAATGTGGTGTACCTTTCTGAACTGAAAGGCACATTAGCAAAATTGGCAAAATGACAGCATTTATCAGAGCCAGAAACTGCATAAACAGAAACGATCAATATCCCTTGAATTAGTCATGTGTGATTTCCAGTTCTGCTGGAAAAATGAACCAAATCTAAGTTTCAAAGTGGGATGTTTAATCAAAATCACTTAATTTTACATGTCTCCTTTAAGAACTAAGAAAAACAATTCTGCAGCACAACCAAGAAGCTATTAGTGACTCAGCTTTTACCAACACACACAACACAACATAAAAAAATCTGAAACTTTTCAGGTGAATTTCAGACTGACCTTACACAATACCAACATTAAACAAGTCTAGAAACAAATTAAAAAGTTTAATTTCTCCAGTATGTGGAGGTACTGTTTTTTTCCAGTATCATTAACACCTGTGTGCACCTGGAAAAATGTTGTACAAACGGATTCCATGTTTTTTTTTACAAAGCAAGTTTAATCTTCAGCTTCTTTTAATGATTAATGGCATTTTGACTTTGTTTTACTGCACAGATGACATTTTTGAGTTCGCTCTCCTTCTAGCCATAGTTGTGCTGTTTCCATAGAGATGCAGGACTTCATATTGCAGCGAAAACTAATTATACAGTGAGGGAAAAAATGTCACAGGATCCCAAAGTCCACAAACTGTTTGGAGATTACAGGGATTTAGTACATTACAGAAACCAGCTAAGATAAAAAATATAATCTAAATTAATCTATGTAAAATAAATCCTCTGTTGACTCAATCAGTGTGATGTGCGGCATTGCTTCCCAGTTTACTCACAGGTCTACTTACCTTTTTTAAGACTAATATTCTCAAATGATACGTTATACAATCCTCTCGGAACCTCTCCAGCCTGCTTTTACTACCGTTGGCCCCTCAGGGTCTAAATGCAGACTTGCTGTCCAGCAACTGTCAAATCAAATTGACCACTTCTGAGACTTTTGCTTAAGCCTCATGTTTTTTGGCATTTCACTCCATGTCAGACTAGTTTCTGTCTCTATTCGTGACACTGCTAAACTTTTGACATAAGAACTTGAATCTCTGCAGTGGGATATTCTCCATTTGACTCCAGAGGATAATTTTTATGAGTGAAACTTCCATAAATGGTAAAAAAAAAAATAAATCACAATTTACAGCAATTTAGGCTTATAATTTATGCTAATGTTGACCCCTAATGAATCCGTCATCTCTTTGTAAACCGCTGGGTTTAAACCAACTATTCACCAAAGCCCATATGTTGACTAAAACTTTTTCTAATGGTTTGTTAAGGATTTCTATAAACAAATTTTTGTTTTGTGTGTGTTTCCTGCAGATAAAGCCAGTGTGGACCGCAGGATCTCAGCTCTGTGCTACTGTACTGTCACACTGTACGAGTAGCATCCCTCCAACAGTCACACACACACAGAGGGACCACGTCCTAAGACTATTGACTACCACCCTCACAAAGCCCCCGTTCCCTCCTGTAGCAGTTCAAGCACTTTTCATTTGTGAGGTTTCATCTGTATTTATCATCAGTTCGTTTCACTGGCTGCATCACGGAATGAACTGTGGATGATGCACAAATTTCTAACCAAAGACGACAACAGATCCGGAAGCAAAAGGCTGAAACCGGATATGGAGATTAAAGCATGCACTTTCAGGTGCAATTTTTTACCCTACGATGGTAGCTCACCATCAGATCAACATATAGATTCTTGATATCATTTGTTTTTACGAGAAGAAAGAGAGGACTCACAGGACTATGAGACAGTGTTGTGGGCTATAAACGGACTCAAGCTCCACATGAAGCAGATCATCTTTTTAAATCCTATCAGTGGTTATTTACTCTGTGTTTAAGTTGTTATTGTTCTTATTTATTGGTTCAGGAGAACATGGAGTTTCCTGCCTGTCTTGAAAACTTCAAGTATTGGAGTGAAAGGAGAAGGAAGAAATTAACAAAAGGCTCACGGCCGCTCACTGTATTTGATCCAGCTCAGAGACTACATGGACTTCGATATAAAACACAAACTCCTGTTACAGAAACTAGACAGCCGTGAGAGCAAAGGAACCTGTAGATTTGTATTTGCTTTGTTTTTATTTTTTTGTGTTGTTACCTCAAGCACTTTATTGTGGATTGAGAGGAGGAGACAGATATCTGAAGGTGGAAATGTGAAGGCAGGGGAGACAGTTTTCTAATCACACCTGCTCCCACCCTCAAAACATACCTGATCTGTGTGCATGAGCAACAAGTCTTCAGAAGTGCATGCATTTCATACACGCCTGTGCAACCAGGGAAACAGGCTGACTGCTCGAGTTTAAAGGCCTTGACTATCAAAGATCACAGAACCACTTACCTCTAGTTTACTGATGTATGGTCGTAGAATTAAAGGGGCATTCCAATGATTTTTAAGATTAAGATCAGCTTACTCTTCATCTGAATGATGTTCAGTCTGTGGAAATAGTTGCAAAACATCTTCTGTGGCTCAGACCAGAGATTTTCCTGATGCCACCTCTGCAAATTATCTCTACTTGGACATGAGACTTAATAGGAGATCTGTAAAGAAATATGCATATTCCAAGCATGGAGGGTTTAATTGCAGAGATGTTTTATGTAAAATGTATAATCAAGGCTCTAAAAATCCTCCTGTGCTGCTTCAATTTGTATTTATTTGTTTAATCTGTCTCTTGCAAGTCTTTCAACTTTCTGAAAGTGGTTTGATAAATCAGTGGAATCTCCCTTTAAATCCAGATGCACGAGTTGTGTCTTGCATGCGAGAAAACGAGCTATCATTTATGTAGCCAATCCAAGGCTGCCATGTTTTCTAAGGATGACGGATGTTCTCAAACATCAGACTGTCATTTACAAAAATACTTCTAGTTTCAGCAGACATATGAAAAATGTATATCCAGGGAGCTTTGATTGGCTCATATCAACTCTGCATTCATTTTGCACAGATAGAAAAAAAAAATCTGACAGTTGTTTATCACATTGTTTTTCATTGTTGTTTAGAGGAATACACTGGGCTTGCCGATGACTTGTTGATCATGCTGATCACAGTAAGGAGGGGTGGAGGTTCATTTGGGGTGACAGTGACTCACTCTGCTCTTGGATATTCAGAAGGAAACCAGAACTTGAGTGAGTGGCCCTTTCTCCTGTTACCACTGCAGCGCTGAACAGCCAATCAGGTGTCCGCTCTAAGCCCCGAAGAAGTGAAACTGAACGGTCAAATTACTTGACAAGTTACCTTAATAATAAGTTTCATTTTACTAAAAAAAAAATAAAACTACAGCTTTTTATGTTCTGTCAAAATCTGTAGCTACTTTTTTTAAACAAAACTTGATGTTTGCAAACCTGTATATATTTGAATGTGGTGCATGTGATGATGATTCCTTCCCCCTTTTTTTGGAAGGGGAGTGAGTGTGTGTGTGAGATCACAGTTTGAAGGGGTGTGGATGTTGCCATCGGACGCCCTGCCTGTCAGTCAAAGAGCACAAATCTTTATATGTAGATAGATGAATTTGTATTGATTTTAGTCATGTCTGCCAAGGGTTTGATAAGGAAAACCTATTTTGGCACAACAGGAGTGTGCCAAAGACTATAATAAAAACTCATGGCAGCTCCAATCCTTTCCAGAGAACTCTTTCTACCAGGACTGTTCGTTGTTGAGATCACATTTATTTAGTGGTTCCTATGAAATGTTCTGAAATGAGCATGAAGTCTTTTGATTTCAAACTCATTTCCACAAATTTTGTGAGACTTGATTTGTCACAATCTGCACTGCCCTAGCGTTCACTCAGTCCCTCTGCCTCCCCCTCAAGTTGTCTGCTGTGCTCCCAACGGTGTATGTACTGTATGTATGAGTGTATATATACACACGTGCATTAAGGCCAGTAGTATCCAGTTAGTGATGGAAAAAGGAGGTGCCTTCTTCTTGTGAAAGCAGACATAGGCCTACTCCTCTGTACAGGTGTGAATACATTCTTTTTTCAGTGTAAAAATGTGTATAAATGCATTCACAGGTGGTCTCCAGGCCTGTTCCTCTGATGTACTGTTCTTTTTTCTAGACATATCTGGGTTTCAGTTTTTCCCCCTCGTCCTTGTCATGAGCACTCTGAACCACATGAAGCCTTTTACTGCACACAGAGTGAAGAGGGACAAATAAAGCTGACAGAAACCCACCTGAAACTTTGCTCTGTACCATTTTTGGACTGTAACTGAAGATGGACTGTTTTAGATAAAAGCATGGGTACCAACTCTGCATTTTACCCTGTAGAACCTCTAGAATGTTGAATGTATGTACCCTGTCGTTTTGCGCCTCTCCAGCTTGACCTGAATGCATTCTGAAGAAACCCCCGCTGTCAGTCACCACCCTGAAGATGCAACACTTTCCAAACACAGATTTTTCAGAGAAATGTTAATGTTATACTTGTGTCTCTCACTGAGGGGTGTCTCTCTTGTTCTTTATGGAACTCAAATACGGTCTTTGTTATTAAAAGGAGGAAAAAAAATGAAGGTGTTTTTCTGTGCCTTATTTTTTTCCATGTTTAATTGTGGGTAGATTTTTGAGAGTTTGCATGAAAAGATCTCAACTGTAAGAGTAAATTTTATGAATGTCCAAAGTCAAAAAGTACTGACTGCTGCAAAGAAACAACAGTCCTCTTGGTAGTTTCTTAATCTACAAATGGCTTGAAGATTCAGTGCTTTACCATTTATATGAGGTGTACGTTCAACAACTTACTTCCAGTATTTCTGTGTCTTTGGATTTTCTCATGAACAGTTTATTTTAGTTTCCTTTGTCGTCATTGCATTCAATACAATATCTGGAACCAGTGATTTAATCTGCTCGGCCTCTGGGTTGCATGTCACCGCTGATCAGATTTTAGTGGACACTGTGTACTTCATGTTCTGTTGAAATTAGTATTACATGGGGAAAAGTTATCAGTATCATCAGAATGCATTTACAACAAGCATGGCAGTTGCTTGTTAATTTATTTAGCTTCTTTTTTAGATTTGAAGAGTACGCTACCTAAAATTGCTCTCATTTTCCAGCTGCTGAACTGACATTGCATTTCTTCAGGAACGTCTTGTGTTTGTTTGAACTGTGGTAAGAAAGAGCTTTTAACTGGCACTGTGTGTTCGCTGGGGTGTCTTTAGAAACGCCTCACTGCATCGTATTTGTATATAGGTTAAACACACTGGCTCTTGGCATCACCTTAATAATTCACAAACTGCCACCCAGGAGCCGTCTCTCTGATAATCATACATTTAAGCTTCAGTTATACCCATGCCAAACTCTGATTTGTAGTGAATTTTAATTTTATCAATAGGTTCCTTTTAGCTGGAAATGACCCCCCAAAAAACGTAAATAAATATATTTTTAAAAAAGCAAGAAAATGTTTTAGAGATTTTAATGATGTAGTTTGAACATGACAAAAAATGTCTTCATATTATGTCTGAGTGATTGGTGGTAAAGCGAACAGTTATTTTAGTCACTACAAGTCTTTCTGCATGTCTCCAAAGAGATTTAGTTTCACTCCTCTCTTTTATGATGATCTCCAGCTCTTTAAGGTTAAAGTTTTCTTCTCTGTCAGTCTGGTCTTCAGTTTGCCCACAGATTCTAAAATGGAGTCCGACCCCCGGCTGGGCTGCTCCAAAATGTGGTCATTGTTTCCTGTTAGCCATTTCTTATATTTCAGATCATTGTCTTATTGGAAGGTCCAGTTCTGCCCAAGGACAAGTTTCTCTGCAGACTGATGCTTCATCCACAATCTAAATGTAGTCCTCTGTTCTCAGGATGCAGTTTATTTTGATGAGCAGACTGACCCATCAGCTGAAAAACACCCCAAAGCACTACATTCCCTCCACTATGCTCGATTGTGGGAATCATGTTCTTGAGGTTGAATTATTCTTCTTTCTGCCATCAAATGAAAGCCACACTCCTGAGTTCAAACAACTCCATTTCTGTCTTGTCTTAACACAGACCTGATGATCACAATGTTCTGTGTCAAGATGAGTCTTGATGTGTCTGTCTTGGAAACTGGAGACTTGTACATGTTGGTAACAGAACTACTCAGATTCATCAGGATGATGTTGGTGGTGGTACTAGGATTCTTCTTGGCCAGTCTCATTACCAGTCTAACCAGTGTAGTGGTCACTTTTGGCTTCCTACCATGCTCTTCTACACCAGCACCATTTGAAAGGAAGCTGCATTTCATTAAAAATAGGTGAACATTTCAAAGACATGGCATTTTTGTAAAAAGTTAAAAAACAAAAACAAAAAACCAACAAAACACAACATCCCCAACACAATATTTTGGTATCTTTCACCACCTGTTTGTGTCATTTCCAGCCAGGAAGAAATCTATTGGTGAAATAAAAAAAATCAAAATTAGGCATGGCTATGAATAATTGTGACTTAGCTGAACCTGCAGCAACTTTACTTTACCAATCACGTTTCAATGATTTTTTATTAAATTTTTTGGCAAACTGGCAGTTCAGGTTGAATTTAACTTACCCGCAGGCCTGTAATGTACTGTATGTGTGTCCTTTACCTGCAGCCTGCGGCTATGTTGTTGTTGTTGCTGAGGGGGCGGCACTAAGCTGACTATGTGTTCTGCTGATTGGTGCTTTTCTTGATTGACACACTGACGGACCAATCGCTGACACCGTCACTGCTGGGCTTTCTCTAACGGCACGGTGCTGCAACTTTGTTATTGTGAACTGTGTCAGGGAGGAAGAGCGGCCGTGAAAGGTAAAACTTATTCCCTCTAACTGGTCTTCACATGTCACTTTATTAACTTAGTACATAGCTATGTACACTGACGTGTTCGCAATAGCTAGCTACTTAACACTTTCCAATGCTGTTAGTGACGCTGCCGCTATTAGCAACAAAGCTAAAACAAGCTGGAGGTCCACGACGAATATTTAACTATTACGATTAAATATTTACGAGCTTCGACGTTATACTGACAGTGATGCATCTTTCACCGAATTCTCTGCTAACCTTTTGAAAGATATGAAATGTACACTCTTACATGGTCATAACCACGTAAATTTAGCCGTTATCGTGGCACTGATAGCCATCTCCATCAGGTCTCACAAAGTGGGTTTGAAAGCTGGTCCTCCCAGTGTTTTATGAGGTTTTGGTGATACAACACTAAAGGGATGAGAAACTGATGATGACAATGCTATGTTTTGGCAGGCACCCCATTACTGCGTTATTCGTAGATGTAGCCTGTAGCAATTTCTCGAGAAGTGTTCTTTACTTGTACTCACATTGTATGACTACATATTGACCCAACCTAATTTAATAGATCTAACAAAATAAACATGGTCTGGAAAAGGTTTCTGGTCAGAACATACTTGTACAATATGGAATGTAAAATAATTGCTTCTTCCAAAAGAAACTCATGACACTCAAACTGATTCACAGTGAAGACTGATGCTAAAATAGCAGCCTGACGGCTCAAGGTACATTACAATGATACATACGTGTAAATACACACTTAAACACAATGCTCTGCTCTTTTATATTAATGTTGATCTTAATTTGCTCTGAGGAACATCTGTCTGTCCTGCTCTGCCTTTCATCTGGTGCTGATGATGGGCTACAGCTGCTGGACTGCTTTGGATGCCTGTCCTCAGACCTGTCCCCCTGACCCTGTCTGGTTCACTGGTCTGACCCTCACATGGCTTCTTCCTAACTTTATTCAGGACTTTTGGGGTCTTTTGAACCGCAGGCTGTTTGGTTTAGGTGACAGGTATCGTTTTTTGATTTTTCAAATTTTTATTTTTAAATCTAAAAAGGAGGGACATGTGTCTTGCATTTGGAGCCAAAAATATGTCAACTTATCAGAAAATGTATTTAACATAGTGTAGAAGGCTATAATGAGTTATTATTTTGCACATATTCTTTCTTGGGGTCCAATGGACCCCCAAAGACCTTCTACATACGGCGACATGAAAGTCCTGAATAGGGTTAAGATAACTAACCATGCTGGCTGCTCATCTTTCTGACATTTCTGAGCCCTGCTGCTGCTGGAACAGAGACTAAATGACACCATTCTGTTGTAACTCTAACTTGGGATTGGGAATGCCCTGGCTGCTCCCAAAACATCTCTGTGTAAAGTGTCTTCATTTAATGTTAGCAGATTTTCCATTTTTCAAAAAAAGGAAAAAACAAAACAAAACACACCATAGCAAGATCTCGTGTCATATTATCATTAATTCAGGAACACCTTGATGATTATTTATCAGCTAGTTGGCATAGTTCATCAGCTTCTCTACCAAATAACATCAACTTTTTGTCATCAAAATGTTAAATGATGAACTAAAGATAATGGCTAAATCTACGAGTTAAGACAAAACATATCAGTAACTCGTTGAATTTGACACAAATCGTCTCAGAGCGTCTGTAAGTGCAGAGTGGAAGCGAGAGAAGACGTGCGCTTGTTTTATTTTCCAGCCACTCCTGCCACAAGCACTACCACAATACTCTGTACACCCCGCCGCCATGAAGCTGCGCTTTCAAAGAAACTAGCCAATGACAAGACAGTATTTCACTGGGGTTGGGAGTGGGTGAGAGGGGGCCAATCAGATTCCAGCAGGGGCCATGGCACCTGTGGCCCCTCCCCTCCCTTCGCCTATGCTGGTGAGAGAAAGCAATTTATTGCTTAGAATTAGAATGACACTTTAGAGTTTTATTCTAATTTAGTGAGAACTTAGTGAGAACATTGAAATTAAACCGGTGATACTAACGTAAAGGAAACAGAGCTGGTAGGTGTTGCTAATTTAAAGAAACAAATAAAACCACAACAGGGCTAACATAGTTATAAAACCGAGCTAAAACAAAACGACTAAACTAAACTCCCAGCAACACGTACAACTAACAAAAGTAAGTAACAAACGAGTGCAACATTTACAGAAATAACTAAACGAACAAGTGCCTCAAATCACATATTAACTCAGGGCTAAGAGTAACTGCTTCTGAGTAGCTATTGGAAGCACAAGACATGTAATCCAGTCATGCAGCTGCTACTAACAGAAGTTACATACATTATGTGGAGCACAAGGCATAAAGAGGCAACAAGGCCAGCTGCTCACACCAGATCACAGCTGCCAGGACTATGAGGTTAGTGGTAGATTTATAGCCAGGTGTGGTAATTGCTGCAGTCTGTTGGAGGAGACCGGGTGGTAACCCAATCAGCTAGGTCAGTGGGTGGGAAGAAGAACAAGGCTGGAGTGCAGGTCTGAAGCTCCAGGCCAGTCATCCATGATTGAAGACAGGTGAGGTCTGGAGCAGGTTCTTCAGCCAGCTTTTCCCCCCACAGTCTCCACAAACCATCTCCCCACACAGGCCACAAAGGATCGAGAACGAAGCACAAGGCATCCAGCCCCCTGGGGCTGTAACACTCACATGTAGTATCTTTAGTATCTTTCATGTTAAAAGATTTAACAGAACGTTAGCATCTCCTTATATTACATCAGTGGTTAGCAGCTGTATTCTTGGCCAGCTTCTGAGAACATTTGCTTTTCATAGCTATTATTGCATTAGCTAATTTAGGTTTTGTTATATTTCTAAATTAACCAGAAGGTCACAGAAGACGACAAAGGGATTAATTAGTGGGCCATCATTTTGTTTTCCTCTGCTCAAGATGTCCCGAGAAGAGCTGGTGGTCCAGCGGGCCAGAACGTCCTTTCAGACTGGGAGAACCAAACCTCTGGAATACCGGCTCCATCAGCTTAAGAGCCTGCTGAGCCTCATCTCCGAGAGACGGACAGACATTGCAGAATCCCTGAAGAAGGACCTTGGAAAGGTGGGTTTATTATGTCTAGATTAATAATGTTTTTGTTTGTTTTTTCATGTGTTTTCACACTGGAACAGTCAAACTAAATCACACTGTTGCTTATTTGAAGAATGACCCTTGTGCATCTGTCCCAGTGGACCAACCAGAGTTTCTTCAGTTTAACACTATTCACAATGAACAAGTCCAAAGTATTTTCTAAAATCATTCATTTGCACACTCGGAAAGGAACTGATCAGAACTGGATCAGAAAAGTGATGTGATTTTGCTGCTTAAAAAGCAACACACAGTTACAAATAGTCTTTTGTGGTTGCTTTTCAGCTTTTCCAGGTGCTTTTATTTGTTTCTAAAGTTGTTCATCCAGTTTGCTTGTTTTTCTTTAGAGCAGTAATGCAATCAAATACTGCCATGATGCTCTTAGCCTCTGCATGAGCACAAACCCTGAGAAACAAAAGTGTATATTAAATACATTTCTAGCTCAGTGCAGCAAAATGATAGAAAAAAAGTAGCAGCGCTTTTCTGTAATGAAGTGACTTTGACAAAACCACTAATGCACCTATTCAGCATTGGTTTGAATGCTTACAAAAACAATGCAAATTTTAGGTGTAGTGCTGTATAGAACTAGAGCATACTGCCAGGTGATGTTGTGGCCATAATTTAAATCCTTAAAACAAAAGAAATCTTATCTTTGAACCTATTCTCATGTGCCCTCTGAAATATTTGAGTTGTTCCAATGTTCCTTCAAGAACATTTGGCAAGAATGACACACACAAAAACACTGAAAATTCAATCAAAACTACATGACAGAAGAGTTGAAATTAAAACATCTTAAGTTCAAGGGTGAATGTGTGTTAAACTTAGTAATGCATAATCTTATAATGTGCTGCAAGGTGGCGCAGTCGGTTAGCGCTCTTGTCTTGCAGCAAGAACGTCGCCGGTTCACGTCCCAGTGGGGGCACCGGGATCTTTCTGTGTGGAGTCTGCATGTTGTCCCTGTGCAACATTCTATGTAATGCAAAGTAGTTTAATAATTAGTGATTAAGTCTGTGTTAAATGTTTTATTTTGTATCACAGAGGTTATTTTGTTTTCTGCTAGGTAGAGAAGAGCCCCCTTTTTTCACATGAGAAACTGTAGAGAGAAGGACTGCTCATGAACAAACCGGTCGACAGACAATACGTGTGTGTGTGTATAAATAGATATTTTAATGTTTTTTCTATTGAGAGACACTGTAGACTACTTGGGAAATTTTTATCTCTCCTGCTTGCAAGTAAAATAACGTCTCCTGTACTTCAGTGATAACAAGTATTCAGAGTTTTAGTTCTTTTGCTGTGTTGATTGATACATCCAGTAGTAGTCTTAGAGATTTTCATGACAGCGTACATCGGGGTATCCAATCCTGGTCCTTGAGGGCCATAATCCTGCATGTTTTAGATGTTTCCCTCTTCCAACACACCTGATTCAAATGATCAGTTCATCATCAAGCTCTGCAGAAGCCTGATAATGATCCTGATCATGTGAATCAGGTGTGTTGGAAGAGAGAAACATGTAAAACATGCTGGATTATGGCCCTCAAGGACCAGGATTGGACACGCCTGGCGTACATGATTAGACTCAGGTGAATGGTGGTTAATGTGTTTCTGCTAAACAAATCAATATGTGAGTAAAGTAATGGCTGAATTAGCAACCGGATGAGGGATGAGCACTGGAGTTTGTCCCTGCTTGTGGTTTCAGAGTGAACATGGGACAGAGCTGTTTGAGATAATGAAACTGGAGGGAGAGATCAGGCTGGCAATAGACAAGCTGGCAGAGTGGGCAGCTCCTCGGCCGGTAGAGAAGAACATCCTCACCATAACAGATGAGGTTTACATCCAGCCAGAGCCTCTGGGAGTGGTGCTCATCATCGGGGCCTGGAACTACCCCTGGGCTGTCACCCTCGTGCCACTGGTTGGAGCTATTGCTGCAGGTAAGGAGCTTTTCTGTTGCCAGTACCTCAATAACTGCCTATAGCTTATAGTTTAGCCCCTGAGGGGCATATTACTGCCACTCTGTACTGGCAGTCATTAAATCAGATGAGGTTTATGTGCAGCTAGAGCCTCTTGGACTGATACTTAACATTGGAGACGGGAACTATCCCCTCCATCTCCTGGTGAGAGCTGCTGCTGCTGGGACTATATATATCCATATAAATTTATTTACTAGGATTATTAAAAGGTGCTTAGCCTATAGTGTAGCTACAGAGGCTCCATGTGTAAGCTCTATTGCTATGCTCTAACCCACTCATCTACAGCTCATTTTGCACTGACACACAAAGTCACAAGCCCTTTTCAGACAAAGGATATGCAGCATTGCTGCTTCATCATGATGTTGAAGTTATGGCATTTTGTCATTCAGACAGAGGTCACATTTATGTTAATGTTCCTCACTCACCATTCAGATCCACCACAATGACAAAGCGAGCTACGAGAGAGCTACGTTACATGTGTAGTGTTTCTCATTCACGTGAGTTTGTAAAGCACAGTAAGTACCATAGGCCATAATGCATATTAACACCCTAGTAAACAAAACACTAAATATAAACTAATTGTAGCTTATCAAACTATCCAAATAACTAAAAGTCCTGATTATCTATGATTTCCTGTAGACTGAAAATTCTGTTGATTGCCAACAGTAAAATAAAAATTTCCCAAAAGCTGTAAGAAGCTCAGGATTCAGCCTGAGGACTGTGGTTATGTCGGAAATAATTTAACTGCAGCCGACGAACTGTGACTCTGTGTGTGACAGCTCACCTGTTGGATGTAAAGAAGGTACACAGTGTAACTTCACTAAATGTGAAGCAAAGTGAATTCAAACAGTGTTTGGTATATTTGGCGCATGCTGTATATTTTTGCTCTGTGATGTTTTTGGACCAATATTGTTTCTGAAATGTAGAAAAAAAGTTTCCCCAAATGTGTCAACGGGTAACGAAATAGTATGAAAGTTACACAGAATGTTTCAAAGTCTGATTAAAAAAACTGCAAATGAATTCAGACATGAATCTGACACGCTCAGTTGCCATCAGATTAACAGAAAGGACTGCATGTTTGAGAGCGGCTTTATAGAGATTAAATCCACCCCAAAGGGACGCAACATTTTAATAGAGTATTCCAGCACTTTGGAAACATGCTTATTTACTTTTATGCTGAAAGATGGTTCAGAAGAATTAGTAACTTACCCTAAAAATGAAGCTGAAGCCAGACGTACGTCAGCATATGGAAACAGGTGAAAAAAAACCCCAGTTTGCTTGAATCCATTATGTGGTAACAAAATCTGTTCAGAACCAAATGGTTCAACACATTATTACATGTTTGTGCTTGTACAGATTAAACAATGTGTTAATTAGTGTGGTTTAGAGGCAGGTTGATACTACTAGCTGGGACAGAGCGTGGCTAGTTGTTGTTGACCCCCCTGTTTCTAGTATTTATCTTATGTGAAGCTGACTGGCTGCTGGTTCTAGCTACTTATTAGGCATACAGAAAGGTGTCAATCTTTTCATCTAACGCTTAGTGAAAAGGCCAATATGTGTAGCTTTCAAAATGTTACCCATTCCTTTAGTTTCTGAATGAAGACTCTTTAAGTCCAGAATTCAATGTAGCCACAACACATATACGAATGAAAATCAGTGGTGTGGCTAACTGAAACAGCTAGATTAAATAATGTGAGCTTATGCATTGTCCAATACAAATGTCACTTGAAACTTTTGTTAGATTTTCAGGCCATAAGGAAATAAGCATTGTGGTGCCCTTGAAGGAAGACTTGGCAACAATAAAAAAAAATACAATGCAGCGCAAATGTACAAGTATGTTCTCAAACATTTCACAGGAGTCACTTTGACACATCACAGCAAGAAAAGCACACGTGTGAACACTAAAAACGAGTGATAGTTGGCACACTAGAGTAGATGAGAGTCATTGTTAATTCATCAGTTACACCTGTCCTCGTGTTGTTAAGACAAGTCAAAGTGACCTCTAGAGTACAAGGCAGGGCTATTTTCAGACACAGGCTGAATCAGTGATACATTTTTTTTTTTTTGCCATTGAAACCTTGATTCATTTCGCACCGAATTAAAGAGTTTCATCACTGATTGTTTATTTGGGACTGTTGTTCAATTACTACATGTGACACATTTTGCTTGGATGTTCATCATTTCATCCATGTGGCTGGCACAGATGAATGCTATGTCGCTATTTTTTAAACATCTTTACGGTCATCTGATAAGAATTGCAAATAAAATATGGCCTCGTTTATCATATTGATTTTATTTATTTTTTATAGGTGACTGGGACAAAGTGCGTTTCTAAAGGGGCCAGAAACTAGTCACCATCCATTTGTTACAGTCTTGTTCGTCTATAAGTTTCATAAAGTTAATATTTATTGTAGGACTACAGTATTCTTGGCAACTTATTTGGTCTGGGATTCTACCTTTTATCTGCAAAAGTGTTTTTCTTCTTCATTCTCAAAGTGTTTGACAGCTGTCACCATACTGCCATTGTGTCTCTTTTCTATCTCAGGTAATGCAGCAGTAATAAAGCCGTCTGAGGTGAGCTCTCACTCTGCCAAGATCATGGAGGAATTTCTCCCTCAGTATCTAGACAAGGTGAGCCTCTTGCCCTGTTAGAATACAACATGTTTTTAACGCTTTTGTGCAAATATTGTGAATGTGCAGCGAGTTTTAATGTCTGTTTACATTCTTTGTAGGATATGTACCCAGTGGTGACGGGTGGAGTGTCAGAGACCCAGGAGCTGCTGAAACTGAGATTTGACCACATATTCTACACGGGCAACAGCACAGTAGGCAAGCTAGTGATGGAAGCTGCAGCTCGCCACCTCACCCCAGTGACACTGGAGCTGGGAGGGAAAAGCCCCTGCTACATCGACAAGAACTGTGACATCGCTGTTGCATGTCGGTCAGTTTTCTCTGTAAAATGTAGCACAAAGATGAACTCAATTGAAGCTTTGGAGATCCTCAAATCACAGCACAGATGCTAAACATCAAAGTGTGCTGTTTTCTCTCATTCTTCTAATACAGTCGTATCACATGGGGAAAGTTTGTGAACTGTGGTCAGACGTGCATCGCTCCCGATTACATTCTGTGTGAACCTTCCATCCAGAGCCGAGTATTTGAGGAGCTCAAAAAGAGCATTGAGGTTGGTCTGAAATTAAAAAATGCATTTTGATGTATATACCAGTTATTTTTGAGCAATGTTTGGTTGAGGTTTTTCATGTGTTGTTGTGAATATAACCACTGCTAAGTACTTTTAAAGCATGTACCTATTTTAAAGCAGTAAGGCTCATTCTTATTTCTTCATATTGTCTTTCTGTCTTTATAAGATGATTTTTTTCATTTGGCATCTATATATGCAATGAACAGCATAGCAACTTGTGGAAACATAGGCATTAGCAGGGCAAAGCTTCCATGTCTTTTATTCTGAGATAATCTTCCTTTCATGTGACACATTGCAGGAGTTCTACACAGATAATCCAAAGACCTTTGAGGACTACGGACGCATCATCAACCAGCGGCACTTTAAGAGAGTCATGGGCCTCATGCAGGGGAGCACAGTTGCTCTGGGTGGAGATTCTGATGAATCCCAGTGCTACATAGGTATGTGGTGTGCTTGAGTAAGTGGGCATCAGTGAATGTGAGTCATTTTAGTTGGCATTCTCCCCGCCTTTACTATCTGTACGGTTTTCGTTCCCTGAGAAACAACAACAGCATCCTTCAACGCTGAAGTTTTGCAAAGGATTTGTATCAGTATGATAGCCCTACCAGTTTTTTTTTGTTTTTTGCAGTGGATTATCCTTTTTAATCTACTGCACACTACACATACAAATTTTCCACCACAACATTTCCACCCGTCACTATTTTGAGGGAGCACCAAAGCCACATAATTCACTTAGCCCCGATCAAGACGACTGATTGGTTTAAAGAAATACAATACGTTTTTCTCCCTATAGCAGAATGATCATGTACTGCAGCCAGACCATTATGTACTACTGAATGGGCTGGATAAGAAAGACTCCTTTTTTGGGGATCCAAAGGTCTTCCCCACACCAGAAGGAATATATAGTCCCTCTAGTATACCCTTGGTTTGTCCCACAGTTTCTTTCAGGTTAGACATGGATGGTATCCTGGTCAGATGCCCAAACCACATCAGCTGGCTCATTTCATTTATTCTTGTTTGACTGTATATAAAACTGTTTAAGTGTGTATTGGTGAATTTTCCTTGAATGACCCTCCTGTCTCCTTGTAGCTCCCACTGTACTGAAGGATGTGACCCGTGAATCCAAAGTGATGAAGGAGGAGATCTTCGGCCCACTCCTGCCTGTCATCACAGTGAGTGGTGTGGATGAGGCCATCCAGTTTATTAACGAGAGAGAGAAGCCGCTGGTTGTCTACGTCTTCTCCAGTGACAAGAAGGTATAATCCATCGTCTGCACACGTTTGTCCATTTATTAAAGATGACACTTAGATTCCATTTATCTTCAGATGAATTTTATGTCTGTGCTAGTGATTAATCACTGCTCTGTTTGACCAAATGTCTTTCATTCTCCCTGATTGATAAACAGATGATCAAAAGAGTAATAGCGGAAACATCCAGCGGAGCTCTGCTGGCTAATGACTGTCTGATCCACTATACCATCAGCAGTCTCCCGTTTGGAGGAGTTGGTGAGTGTATGGCTGTCTCACCCAGCAGCGGCTGTGGTATTTATTCTCCTTTTCATTTGCAGCACAAAGGCTGACATGCGTTTTTATGACATCCTACTTCTCTCTCAGGTAACAGTGGTATGGGCAGCTACCTCGGCCGCTACAGCTTTGACCAGCTGAGCCACATGCGTAGCTGCCTGATCAAGCAGCTGAATATGGAGGGATTCAACAGCATGCGTTACCCCCCACACACCACCAAGAAACTTGGCTGGGCCCGATTCTTTCTGTTTAAGAAGTTCAACTTTGGCAGGCTACGCCGCATGGCACTGCTAGCTATGCTGGCTGGCTTAACAGCATTTGTGGTGCAGGTGAGACACTAAACTCTACTAATGCAGGAATAAAAGGTTTTGTTTGGTATCAGTAATGTTCTTGCTGCCTAGGAAACTTCCTTGAAAATTGAGTCTAAGTATTTCTTTCTTCTGTGATTTACTGCAGACTAGTTTCTCCTTCTTGCATGTTCAGCCGACTTGTTGTGTCGCAATAAAAGACTCTTTGGATAACACATTCAGTTAAAACAAAGGAAAGGATTTTATTGAGGCATGCCAGCTGAACAGTGTCTCTCTTTCCTCACTATTTATTACCAAATCACATTTTCTTAATTTGGACCCAATTATCAGCAAATAATCAGCACTTTAATTTCCTTTTAGAAAAGGTACATACAGTACAACACAGCATCATAGTTTGCAAGGTACGTGTGTTTGAAAGTGGTAAATACATTAAAGTAAAAAAGAAAAACAAAATGTGTCATACAAGCGTCCATTAAAGACAGAATTGTCCTTCACACTGTGGGCTGGTAATCAACTGAAAGACAAATGATATAACAATTACTGATTTGTTGACAACTCTAGTGAAAGTGTGTAACAGCTGTTAATGTTGTTGGTAGTAACATTACTGTTACCTGTAAAGGTCACATCATGAGAGAACCTGTATGAAAGGATATGACTGAGGTTATTCATGTCATTGTGGTTCTGAACTTGAAAATATTTAAAACATAATGCAGATTGATTTTTGATTTTGTTCAATTTCCAAGCACAGCAGGGTCACAAATGTGTGATGTCTTGGCATTTCCTTCACCAGACAGAATAACACCAAAAATATACAGCTAAGCCCAAAATGATTCATANTTTTTGCAGTGGATTATCCTTTTTAATCTACTGCACACTACACATACAAATTTTCCACCACAACATTTCCACCCGTCACTATTTTGAGGGAGCACCAAAGCCACATAATTCACTTAGCCCCGATCAAGACGACTGATTGGTTTAAAGAAATACAATACGTTTTTCTCCCTATAGCAGAATGATCATGTGCTGCAGCCAGACCATTATGTACTACTGAATGGGCTGGATAAGAAAGACTCCTTTTTTGGGGATCCAAAGGTCTTCCCCACACCAGAAGGAATATATAGTCCCTCTAGTATACCCTTGGTTTGTCCCACAGTTTCTTTCAGGTTAGACATGGATGGTATCCTGGTCAGATGCCCAAACCACATCAGCTGGCTCATTTCATTTATTCTTGTTTGACTGTATATAAAACTGTTTAAGTGTGTATTGGTGAATTTTCCTTGAATGACCCTCCTGTCTCCTTGTAGCTCCCACTGTACTGAAGGATGTGACCCGTGAATCCAAAGTGATGAAGGAGGAGATCTTCGGCCCACTCCTGCCTGTCATCACAGTGAGTGGTGTGGATGAGGCCATCCAGTTTATTAACGAGAGAGAGAAGCCGCTGGTTGTCTACGTCTTCTCCAGTGACAAGAAGGTATAATCCATCGTCTGCACACGTTTGTCCATTTATTAAAGATGACACTTAGATTCCATTTATCTTCAGATGAATTTTATGTCTGTGCTAGTGATTAATCACTGCTCTGTTTGACCAAATGTCTTTCATTCTCCCTGATTGATAAACAGATGATCAAAAGAGTAATAGCGGAAACATCCAGCGGAGCTCTGCTGGCTAATGACTGTCTGATCCACTATACCATCAGCAGTCTCCCGTTTGGAGGAGTTGGTGAGTGTATGGCTGTCTCACCCAGCAGCGGCTGTGGTATTTATTCTCCTTTTCATTTGCAGCACAAAGGCTGACATGCGTTTTTATGACATCCTACTTCTCTCTCAGGTAACAGTGGTATGGGCAGCTACCTCGGCCGCTACAGCTTTGACCAGCTGAGCCACATGCGTAGCTGCCTGATCAAGCAGCTGAATATGGAGGGATTCAACAGCATGCGTTACCCCCCACACACCACCAAGAAACTTGGCTGGGCCCGATTCTTTCTGTTTAAGAAGTTCAACTTTGGCAGGCTACGCCGCATGGCACTGCTAGCTATGCTGGCTGGCTTAACAGCATTTGTGGTGCAGGTGAGACACTAAACTCTACTAATGCAGGAATAAAAGGTTTTGTTTGGTATCAGTAATGTTCTTGCTGCCTAGGAAACTTCCTTGAAAATTGAGTCTAAGTATTTCTTTCTTCTGTGATTTACTGCAGACTAGTTTCTCCTTCTTGCATGTTCAGCCGACTTGTTGTGTCGCAATAAAAGACTCTTTAGATAACACATTCAGTTAAAACAAAGGAAAGGATTTTATTGAGGCATGCCAGCTGAACAGTGTCTCTCTTTCCTCACTATTTATTACCAAATCACATTTTCTTAATTTGGACCCAATTATCAGCAAATAATCAGCACTTTAATTTCCTTTTAGAAAAGGTACATACAGTACAATACAGCATCATAGTTTGCAAGGTACGTGTGTTTGAAAGTGGTAAATACATTAAAGTAAAAAAGAAAAACAAAATGTGTCATACAAGCGTCCATTAAAGACAGAATTGTCCTTCACACTGTGGGCTGGTAATCAACTGAAAGACAAATGATATAACAATTACTGATTTGTTGACAACTCTAGTGAAAGTGTGTAACAGCTGTTAATGTTGTTGGTAGTAACATTACTGTTACCTGTAAAGGTCACATCATGAGAGAACCTGTATGAAAGGATATGACTGAGGTTATTCATGTCATTGTGGTTCTGAACTTGAAAATATTTAAAACATAATGCAGATTGATTTTTGATTTTGTTCAATTTCCAAGCACAGCAGGGTCACAAATGTGTGATGTCTTGGCATTTCCTTCACCAGACAGAATAACACCAAAAATATACAGCTAAGCCCAAAATGATTCATAACCATGCCAAATTTTGATTTGTAGTGAAGTATTATTCAAACAAAAGGTTTTGTCTCGCTGGAAATGACAAACAAGTGACGAAAGACAGTAAAATGTTATGTGAGGGATCTCCACTGGGATTTTGTTCTGCTCGTCCTTTCTGGTGATCTGTTGGTCTTGGAGGCTGGAAGGCTTCTTCTTCATCAGCCTGGACTTTGGTTTCCCAACAGATTCTTGATGACATTCAGGTCTGCAGTCTGGCTGGGCCGCTCAGAGATGTTGATTTTGTTTCCTGTTAATTATTTCTTGACCACATTCGCTCTGTGTTTCAGATCATTGTCTTGTAGGAAAGTCAAATTCTGCCCAAGGACGGGTTTTTCCTGCAGACTGTCTGATGTTTTCTCCTATTATCTTAATGTTGTCCTCTTTTCTCAGGATGTTGTTTCCTTGGAAAAGACTGACTGACCCACCAGCTAAAAAAAACACCCCAAAGGATGGTGTTCTTGAGGTTGAATGATTCTCCTTTCTGTCATCAAATGAAAGTCACGCCCCTGTGTTCAAACAACTCAATTTTTGTCTTATCTTACCACAGAGCTGGTGACCAAAAGCTACTGTGTCAAGGTGAGTCTTGGTGTGTCTTGAGGTTGAATGCGTTCAGGATTCAACATTCCACATTTTTATTTGTTATTTGTGTGCAAACAGACAGTCTAAGCACATTGGAATTCTTGTGCAGGGCTCTCTTGAAGTCGAGGAAAAACACCTAATGCTTCTCCTTCCATTCGTCAAACGAAAGTCTTGTAGCCACAAGACCAGGTGAGCTTTAGTGTTCCTGTCTTGGAGTCCTTCTTGGTCAACTTCCAAGGAGATCAGCCTTGTTCAGTGTCTGCTGAAGTGTTTGAGGTGTCGATGCTTGAATTGCTCAGATTCATCAGGATGGGTTTGATGGTGATTCTTGGATTCTTCTTGGCCTCTACCATTCTTGCAGTACGGGAGTCGCTCTTTGCTTTCCACCACAACCTCTAAGATTTTCCCCCAGTGTGGAAGTGTTTGCCCTTTTTGATGATGCATTGTGGCCACTGGACCTTGAAAACACCGGAACATGGCGTTACCACTTTTCCCCAATCTGTGAGAAGCCACAATTCACATCTGGAGGTTCCCACTAAGGTCATCGGTTTTAGCCATGACTTGCAAGTGACTATTAAGCGACTGGAGAACAACTGCTGTTCTCTGTTTATAGTGTATTAGAACACTCTAGATTAGCAGGAATTACCAGGACCATTTGAATGGACAAGAGTCTGCATTTTCTCAACTATTTTAAGCATTATGAATGATTTTGGACATCCATCCATTATCTATACACCTCGTTATCCTTTGTAGGGCTGCAGGGGGGCTGGAGTCTATCCCAGCTGACTTAAGGTGAAGGCAGGGGACACCTGTCCATCACAGGGCTACACTTAGAAACAGAAAACCAAGCACACTCACATTCACACCTACAGACAATTTAGACTCACCAATTAACAGCAACATGTTCTTGGACAGCACTGTTGCCTCGCAGCAAGAAGGTTGCCGGTTCGCGTCCCGGTGGGGGCACTGGAATCTTTCTGTGTGGAGTTTGCATGTTCTCCCCGTGCAGCGTGGGTTCTCTCCGGGTTCTCCGGCTTCCTCCCACAAGGTTCAAAAACATGTTGCGGTTAAATGGTGATTCTAAATTGTCTGTAGGTGTGAATGTGAGTGTGCTTGGTTGTCTGTCTCTAAGTGTAGCCCTGTGATAGACTGGTGACCTGTCCAGGGTGTCCCCTGCCTTCACCCTGAGTCAGCTGGGATAGACTCCAGCCCCCCGCGACCCTAGTGAGGATTAAGCGGTGTATAGATGATGGATGGATGGATGTTCTAATGTGCTAACTTCACACAGAAAGATTTAAACCAGGGATCTCCTAGCTGTGAAGTGACAGTGTTAACCACTGACCCACCCTGCTGCCCAATTAGGACATGGCATTTTTAATTTAAAAAAATAATACAAAAAGAAATAGTCCAAATGTATAAACATCTCTCACATGATGTCCAGCTATCTTTTGTTACTTCTTTGTCATTTCCAGCAGGAACAAAGCTACTGGTCTAAGTCACTATAAATCCCAGACTGACATGTTTCTATGTGAACAACTTGTGGCTCTATCAGTGGCTATAGAAGCACATTACAATGAAAGCCACTGTTTCTTTAAAAAAAAAAAGAAAAAAAAAAAGGCAAATTCTGCCTGGAATGTGCAAAAATATGCAACATCTAAATATTATTAGATTGCCTACTAGTTTATTTATTTTTTAAAACCTTTTTAAAGACTGACTAACATTACTACAGCAATGTCTTACATAAAATAACATCCATGTAACTGCCCCCAAGGTGGTACTTTGTGGTGATTAAAACCCTTACATAAATTAACTAGATTATTCTTTTCAAGAAGTACAATAAAAGTATTTTAATTTGGTAACTTTTTCCTTTAACAGCAGAGATAAATGCCTTATGTAGGGCTTAACAAAGTCAGTGACAGCAATTAAAGTGTGCAGGATCTGCATATATCTATACGGCCTCTGAATAAAACTCATGTCCTGTCTTAGACCTTAATGCCACTTGTTTCCCAGCAACTATTACATGCCAATAATTATGCTTCCTACAGGAGACAATGTTGTTGTTCTGTTTGCGCTTATTGTTTATGACACACGTGTTTATCCATTGTTTCATCCTCAGTCTAATCTGAACTCTAGCAAGTATTCATCAGTGTAAGTGTGACTGATGCCACCATGTTCACCTTAATTGCAATGTTTAGTAGGACATATGCAGCAATTGAAGAAGACGATGCATGTTTTTTAACCAGTTGGTTATTTATGTGGTGGCTGTTTACCACTTTGTTAATAATAACAAATACATTTTCCCAAGATAATCAGATCAGCAGTCCTCCCACCCACATACCCTCGTCCTACAGGCCTGTACCCTCATACAACAATGGCTTTGTCTCCTGCAGACAATGTGTGGTGTTGTCCAGGAAATCTAACCACATAATGCCCCCTCATCTACCCTCCCTTTAATTACCCAGCATGCTTCACTCCCCACGACTAAATGGCCTCTTTTGTCACAGCCAACCCCACCACCTTTGTTGACATCCACACTTGTGCTCCTGTGAGCAGTTGAACTATCTGCCTGTTTCAAACCGTTTCGGTGTGTCATGTTGCTTGCAGAGGTTCCTGCGGCGAGGCTGAGCAGCAGAGCTCTGAAGTTTGACCCTGAGCCGGTGCCGGCGATCCAGCCGCATGGACTGATGCCCGATTGTGAAATGTAGCACTCCTGACATAACCGGTCCAAATCATTTCACCTTCACACAGACACGTTTCACTGATTTGTCTTTTTAATGGAATTTCTGTTACACCTTAAGCTACTTTTGATGTTTTAAATATTTTCACTTTAGTTTTCTAGAATTATGTGTCAAATTATAATTAAACGTATACATTTAAGATTTTACTTTAATATTCTGAAATTACAGAACTGGGATGCAGTGATTCATTGCAGACTAAAAAAATCAACACAAACTACTGCTACTACTGAGAATATTCTGTCTGAATGTCACGGTGCCACTTGGATTTCATGGTACTCTGCTGTCTGAAATTAAACACTAAAGATATTTTAAACTAATTGCTTTGCAGATTTTTGAGATTCTATTATTTTAGGTGCATATTAGATTCAAGGTTACTGGAATTTATAAGTTGGCTGCTCTTAGTAGTAGGCGGTTATTAAGAAGTACAACTAAGGACTGAAATAAGAAACCAAGCAGCAGGAAGCTAGACTTCAGTATTGAATGTAAACGTGCTGTACATGTGTGTGTGCGTTGGGGGGGTTGAGTGTGGGGGCTGTGATGTTATCAAGGCTTCCAGTGTGGATGTGAATGAAGCTGCGGTCACAGTGCGCAGCTTCTCCGGTAAACTGATCCCAGAGCAGCGCGCTGATGCTCAGAGCACAATGAGAGTCGGTGGATCGGTGAGTCCGCACAGCGTCGACATCTGACCGCAGTGAGATCAGAGGAGCGGTCACATCGCATCTGGTACAGGACACGCTGGATGTTAGTTTGAGCTTCTCTGGACTGCAGTAAGTTGAATGCTTCTTTATAGACGTTCACTTTATCCCGCGATATCGCGATATGTCGTCGATCTGTTGACTTGAACCGACTTCATTGTCAATTTGGCAAAAAACAAAAAAATAATATACCGAATATATAAACGGACAAATTGCGCCACATGCTTTTAAAAAAGAAAAATCTGACCTAAAAATGTAAAATAATAAAAATCGTCTATTACTAATTATGTAATGTATCTGACTTAAGTTTATTTTAATTACTACAATATTATATACAGCAATTAACAAACGTGTGTACACTTGTGCAATATTAATAAAAGGTCAAATTATTCAAGATTTTATCACATTATAAAAATTGCATTACTCCTAAATCAACCATACTTTGTTATAAAAATTAGATTTGCCATATTAATAATACATGGCTGATATAGAAACTCTGTAACAAAATACTGTACATCTGTCATTCCTTGGAGTCAAATATTTTACTTTCTCAATACTTTGTCCACCTTTATTACAAATCAATCCTCAGCATACAGGACACCAAGGTGGCACAAATGTTTGTTCTGTCTTTTTTGGAGACAGAGTCTTCTCTGGCTTATATTGCTTTAGTTTCTCTTCAAAACACTCCACAGGTGCTTCACTGGAATCACACCAGGGGACATGCTTGCTACAGGTCATAGCTTTTACTTTTATTTTCTATAGAAACTCTCATGTAATTTTGTGCCTTGGATGATTGTCATGCTGGATTATTCGTCTACTGCTGAGTTTCTGCAGATGGGAGTCATCTTGTCAGACTGTTTTTGGTATATCCACAGGCCTTTATGGTACCATCTAGAAATATCATCAGAATCTTAGGCTACTCAGCTACTCAGTGGCAGTTGTCGAGGGTCTTTCAAGGAAATCCAGAAAAGGACGCCACAGTTTATACAAGTTGTTTTCTGAACCTTGAATTGTATACCTGATCTTTTTCAAATCCATACGGGACATTACATCTTTGAACCATTAGGAATGTGAAGGGGATGAGGAGTCCCTCCACTTGAGCAAAACAGCTCGTCTGGCCAATAAAAATGAAAATTTCAAGACTTTTAACATAGAGTTTGGCAAGTTAAGGTCTGGGTCACTTCAAAAATAGCACAGAGTGGATCTGGTTTAATAGAAATATACTCACTTCTGATGGATACTGAAGTAGTTTGATTTACCTAAATTAAAAATAAGTGTTATTGCCCTGCAAGATTGTACATGGAAGACCCAACAAACCCAAAGATTCTATTTAAGCAAACGCATCATTGACTGTGGAGCGGAAGAACTCCTATTTAACTTTTGGTTTAAGGTGTGAATGGTAAGGATGATTTAAGTGGCCTTACAGGCAAAAAGCTGAGTTAACATATTGCTTATGCATTGTACCAAGCTTTAAAAGCAAAAAGTAAAACTTTAAACTAAATTCTATATTTCATTGGTAACCAGTGCAAATGAGCCATGAAAGGCAGAGCTGGCAGCTGCATTCTGAAATATCTTTATTCAGGTAAGTTTGGACGGTGTCAGCTTCATATACAGGGAGTTACAGTAGTACAGCCAAGAGCTACTAAATGCATGCATCACTGTTAACAGCTCCTTGTAAGCTACACTCAGTTTGATTCAGTTTATAAATGCATGTAATGCAATAGTCTATAGAAAATAATATACATCTTTACAATTTCCAAGCACAAATATTTTGTTTTCTGTTGTCAGATGTCACACTTGGTGTTTGTCATGTGTGTTATTGAAGGCTGCATTAATGTCACAACACAATTGAGATGCTTAGATGTTTGCAAAGAATTTTCAATGCAGGTATGTTTAAAAACAGTTTGATTTCAGGTCACATAATAATAATAGCACATATTGTCATAATAGCACATGATCGTTTTGAGATTCTAGAGATTCTTCGTTTCTAGATTTATTTAAAGGGATTAAATATGTAAAATGAGACTTCTTTAAAAAAAAAAAAAAAAAAAACATCTATTGAGTATTCTGAAAATTACTTCAAGAGCCAAATTCTGAAATACATGTACACAAACTATTGGTGTTAACTGTGTAAATACCTACTAGAAAGTTTAAAAATGATAAATATTCCTGGAAAGATACTGTCACAATATTCACTTTGCTTCCATGCCTTATAGGCTACTTTTCAGTACAACACAGTTCCAAAATTACTTGTGTTATCTTTCTACAAACCTGTATTGGATAAGAGTATGGTTTACAGGTGTAGGTTTTAAAATTGCTGGCAATAGACTGTTGTTTTGTTAGATATATTATGTACGGAAATGTATATTCCTGTCCTGCTTAAATAAAGCTTTTTTTGAACATGCTCGTATGTCATTCAGCATGTGATGGACTATGGCTTGTCGCTGCTCCTCCAGTAGGTGTCTGCATGGAGAGGCAGGTGGTGCATCGGGCCAAGGAGGCCTTCCTGAGCGGCAGAACTCGGCCTGTGGAGTTCAGACTGCAGCAGCTTCATGCCCTGCAGAGGATGATCACTGAGAAAGAGACAGAGATCTGCACTGCTCTGAAACAGGACATCAACAGGGTGAGCAGACACACAGGAGACTTGTGAAGAAAAGATCTTTATCTTCTTGCTTGCCTGACTGACAGTGTGCTGGGTTTCCCACAGAGCCAGTACGACACGCCGCTCCTGGAGCTGATCGGCATTGAGAACGAGATCAAGCTGGCTATAGATAAGCTGGCAGAGTGGGCAGCTCCTCGGTCGGTGGAGAGGAGCCTGTTCACGCTAAGAGATGAGGTTTACATCCAGCCGGAGCCTCTGGGAGTGGTGCTCATCATCGGGGCCTGGAACTACCCCTGGGCTGTCACCCTGCAGCCGCTGGTTGGAGCTATTGCTGCAGGTAAGGAGCTTTTCTGCCTCCAGTCGCTCAATAACTGCTTATAGTTGGTGGTTTAGTCGAGTGGACCCCTGATAGCAGTGATACTGAAAGTCTGAACTGAACACACCTGACCTTTGCTCAGGCTGAAGAGTAGAGCGGCTAAACTGGGGATTCTGTGAGGTTCATGTATAAATCAATCCATCCATTATCTATAGAACAGATATACATAATCCTCTTTATCCCTTGTAGGGTGAAGGCAGGGTACATCCGGACAGAACACCAGTCTATCACAGGGCCACACTTAGAGACAGACGACCAAACACACTCACATTCAATTTAGAATCACCAATTAACCTCAACATGTTTTTGGACTGTGGGATAAAGCTGGAGAACCCGATGAGAACCCACGCAGACACAGGGAGAACATTCAAACTCCACACAGAAAGACCCCAGGCGCATAATCAAACCCAGGACCTTCTCACTGTGTCGCTCTCATGTATTAATGAAAAAGTGCAATTGTCACATGCTACCATGTGCAACAACACGAACAATGGATGCCAGAAAAGTCATTTATTCACAGTCAGTACGTAAGAAGGACCTTTACAAATGCTTTTTTTGGGGGGGATTTTTTTTTTTGTAGGAATTTGATACCTTTATTGAATCCTTTTTTTCATATTAAAACATCTCAAATCTATATTTTTTGAGAGTGAACAGTGTTTATTTAATGTAGTTGGTTAACTATCTAACAACAGAAGATCAATTTTTATACCTCATAACCTTTTTTATGCACATGTAAAATGTATAAGTAGCCTTAAAAAGAAATTTGATTTGATTTGTTGGTTCTAAGTGTTGCTTCTGCTGCCGAAAGGTTCCTGTTGTCTACGTTTATAACACTTGGGAAAATTCAAACTTTATATCAAACCATTTAAAATAACGTGTGATTTATATTGACACAAGTGTCAGTTGAATAAGAGATGATTATAGCATGTTATGCCATTTTAAAACATTTTTGAGTAAGTAATGTAATACATATACCTTGTATTTAGGGTATAATGGGCACATTTTGAGACAACAGCTCTGTCCTATGAAGGCAAAATGCAGTAACTACTTTCTTAATGTCCTTCTCCGGTTGTTGATTAAATCCCTAAAAACTCATCTCTGTGTATCAAAATTATATGTTTGGATTTTTTATACATATTTTTTAAAATATGAAAATAACTTCCTAACTAAAATAGATCATCTGTAACTTAACACAACCGCTTTCTCTAACATGCAGATCTATGAAGTCCCTACTTCATTCTCCACCCACCCACTCCCACTCCCTGCAGCTCAGCACACCAGCTCTCTCAAACACTGTGAAACTACTCTGTGCTTCACGGTGATTATATATACAAATAATTACACAACATTACAACAATATTACAACGATTCTAAATAATAATGACACAGAAAGTTCCAGCCTGCAAGCTGGCAGGATTTGTTCTTTAAGTTTGTTACATATGAAACACTGGAAGTCTGAATGTGTGTTGTTGAGGCTGTCATCACTACACTGCAGTTTCAAGCTCAGCCATGGTGCTGACTGCTTACTTCACTCATGAGGGTTCAGGTTAGGACATGTAAAAGCACATAAATAATATATTTACATGTTAAGGTTAAAAACTTTGATTTAAACCTCAATGTTCAGATTTTTATGTCTTCTTATTAAGCTGATTTTAGTGGTTAACAAAAAAGCACAAGGATATATGAACACCGAGCGAAACAGATCTCTGGGCGTTTTTTAAATCACATTTGGCAAAAGCTGGAAGAACACATTCAGCGTTTTTCAGACTCATTCAGACTTCACAGACTTACAGCTCACCATCATGCCTTGAAACTTTTTTTTCACCTCTGCTTCTGCAGTCACCATTCCCTGCCTTTGTAGGCTTATAAAAATATCAGCTAATTTACATCTTATATTTTGCGGCACAGTGTTGAGAAAAATATCAAGACAAGTATCGTGCTGCTCTGCGGGTCGGACCTCACTTGACTTCCCTCCCATCTCTGCATTCTCACCCTCCTACTTGTCAGCTGTGCGTCACTCAGTGATCTCATCCCATTCACAGAAACCCGTGTTCTCTCTCTGTAGGCAATGCAGCTGTGGTGAAGCCGTCAGAGCTCAGCGAGTACTCGTCCCTCCTCCTCCGGGCGCTGCTGCCTCGCTATCTTGACAAGGTCTGAACACCAGCTGCTATTGTTGTTGGAATAGTGTTGGGCAGAGCAGCCTTCACGTTAAAGCCTCATACCAAGACAATACACGACATGTTTCTGAGCCCAGTGCCAAGTGGTCACTTCATGATGGGACTCCATCATGACTCATGTGTTTACATCATCCTCAGCTCGCCTCATTTTCAACTATGCTTGATATTTTTGACCCCGTAGTTCTTGTAGACAATAAATAAAAAATAATAAATCTTTGCTGTGTTTTTTTTTTTTTTTCCAGGATCTGTACCCAGTGGTGACGGGTGGAGTGTCAGAGACCCAGGAGCTGCTGCGGCTCAGGTTTGACCACATCTTCTACACAGGCAGCAGCACAACGGGCAAAGTTGTGATGGAAGCTGCAGCTCGCCACCTCACCCCAGTGACGCTGGAGCTGGGAGGGAAGAGCCCCTGCTACATCGACAAGGACTGTGATGTCCGGATCGCCTGCCGGTAACTTGCTCGTCAACATCACCAGCAGTCATACTCAGAGCTCAACACTGACATAAACTCAAATACAGGCCTCAAGCTGCTGAAAGGTGATGTGTGGAGGTTCAGGAACCAAAAAGGGCAAAGATGCAACAGATTTAACGGCTGTACCTATTAAAGTGGATGCCTCAGTGGAACCCGTTATCACTGAACTGCACATGACGGAAAGTTTTTAAGAAATACTGAAGCAATGATTTGTTGGACGTTATTTTATTTTGGTTCATTTAAGTTGCAACTTTTCAAAGACTGTGCTGATGTTTTGCAGCCATTAAGTACAAAATCATTTTAAGTCATTTTCCCTATCAGAAGGCATCAACGTCCATTTATTTCAGTGTGCTATGATAAAAACAGTGCTTAGGAGACTTAAAACCAGCTTAAGAATGTGTTGCCATTACTTTTGTCAGACAGAAGGCCCTTGAACATTAACCTTTGTTGCAACCTAATCCTGCCGATTTTCAGGTGTCAGCGTAACATTAAATGCCATAAAATACAAAGACCATTCCTCGTTAACGTGACCATGACCATGATGACACTGTAATGAGTTACTCTATATAAAAATAGCTCTCTCTGCAAGTGTACTTTCATAGTGTGTAGAGAACTACATAGGAACCAGGGACTAGTTGGAAGTTAGAAAAGTTCACTGAGAAATTTGGAAAAAAAGATGGAAACAATGCAAATAGATTCACATTTATGTTTATATGACACTAATCAGCCTGAATAAGAGCCTATATTGTGAATGACATCAGCCCATTCTGAATCACACTGGAAAACTGGACAGTGTTTGAAAGTTTCTAAAACCATTTCAAGATACAAATACCACAGAAACAATCGTCACTTGTGTTGCAGTAAGAGAGCATACACAGCAAAACTGAATTCACACCTTTTATGTAGTCGATAGTGACACATATTTCTGGACTCAAAGTCAGGGTTTTCACCACTAGAGTCCACTGAAGAAAATGTTTCTAAGCTCCAAGTTATTGTTTTGAAAATGGAAGTGAATGTTAAGGTGTTAATGAGTTAAGAGGGCAGTTGGTGGCACTGTTGCCTCACAGCAAGAAGGTCGCCGGTTCACGTCCCAGTAGGGACACCGGAATCTTTCTGCGTGGAGTTTGAATGTTCTCCCCATGCAGCGTGGGTTCTCTCCGGGTTCTCCAGCTTCCTCCCACACAGTCCAAAAACATGTTGAGGTTAATTGGTGATTCTAAATTGTCTGTAGGTGTGAATGTGAGTGTGCTTGGTTGTCTGTCTCTAAGTGTGGCCCTGCGATAGACTGGTGACCTGTCCAGGGTGTCGCCTGCCTTCACCCTGAGTCAGCTGGGATAGGCTCCAGCCCCCCGTGACCCTAGTGAGGATTAAGCGGCGTATAGATAATGGATGGATGGATGGATGAGTTAAAAGACGCAAACTGTTAGTATGATCTTTCACCTCACCATGCAATAGTGCATTCTTTTTGTCTACACATGCACAGATGTACCTGAATGTGACTTCTTTAAAGCCCTAAAACACGGAAACATTCACATTGTTTACTGGTTAAAGTGTAAATGAACCGTGTATATTTGTGCTCCTCTGCCTGGTTTGTGTGCAGTCGTGTCACGTGGGGAAAGTTTGTCAACTGCGGCCAGACGTGCATCGCTCCAGACTACATCCTGTGTGAGCCCTGCATCCAGGGCCGGGTGGTGGAGTGCATCCGACAAACTCTACTGGTAATTTTTAACCGTACTCTAACCTGACAGCTTGCATGCTGGTGAAACTGCAGTGTGGCGCTTTATCAAGACCTTCTTGATCCATCGCAGGAATTTTATGGTGCCGATCCAAAATGCTCACCTGACTATGGCCGAATCATCAACCAGCGACACTTCAACAGAATCATGGGTCTGATGGAGGGCTACACTCCTGTAGTGGGAGGACAGAGTGACTCCTCACAGCGCTACATTGGTGGGAAGATACATTTTTAATGCCTTGTTCGTGTGGATTAGACAAACTTGTATATATTTCTGTCTAAATGAGCGCTGATGTTGTAATTGAAGCCCCAACAGTGCTGAAGGACGTCCCCCCCCAGTCCAGGCTGATGCAGGAGGAGATCTTCGGCCCTCTGCTGCCCATAGTTACCGTCAGTGATATGGATGATGCCATCAACTTCATCAATGAGAGAGAGAAGCCGCTGGCTCTCTACATCTTCTGCACCGACAAGAAGGTGAGATGCAGCAGGGAGGAGAAATCCTACAGCGGGTTTTAATCTTTTCAGCTGCTTTTCATGAACTGTCTTTCTGTCCATTCTTCTCCTTCTGTCTCTTAAAGGCAAGCAAAAGGATGATTGAGGAGACGACGAGTGGAGGAGTGACAGTCAACGATGTCATGATGCACTACACAGTCAGCTCTCTGCCGTTTGGTGGTGTTGGTAAGAAAAACTCAAAGTGTGTTATTATGTGCATGTTAATTTAAGTAAACTTCATTATGAGAGAATTGCATGAGCTAGATTTTCATTTAAAAATACAAACACATAGATATGTTATACACAGAAAAAGTGGAAAAACTGCTCTCAACTGAAAAAAACAGAATGAATTGTCTGCAGTGCAAAAGCAGCCCAGTGTTTGTGAAGCTGGACATCCGACGTCTCACGTATTGTTTATATAAAGCTCTTAAACGTGTTCTTTATTTGCCTAATAAGTGTTAAACAGTAAAGTATGATGTAGTGTTTAGTGCACACAACCACATCTTATGGATTTGTGTCACATCTCATGAGCTTCATGTGAACTGAATTGTACATGAGAGCTGGTAGAGCAGGCGCCTGGTTCTGCTTTGTTTTTCCACTGCGTTCACACACGGAGAAACAGTCTCTGTTTAGTAGTGCTAAGTTCCCATTTTGGAAAAGGCCTGAAGCACTACAGTGCTGAAGCAGCTGGACACATTTTTAATGACCAAATTAAACGCTACAGTGTCAGATGGGCTCACAAATCCACATTTCCTTCAAGATAAAAGCCCTTCTCTTCCTGCTTTCTTTTTGTATGAAAGATCATGCTAGGCTGCAAGGTGGCGCAGTTGGTAGCACTGTTGCCCCGCAGCAAGAAAGTTGCCGGTTCGCGTCCCGGTATCTTTCTGCGTGGAGTTTGCATGTTCTCCCCGTGCAGCGTGGGTTCTCTCTGGGTTCTCCGGCTTCCTCCCACACAGTCCAAAAACATGTTGAGGTTAATTGATGATTCTAAATTGTCCGTAGGTGTGAATGTGAGTGTGCTTGGTTGTCTGTCTCTAAGTGTAGCCCTGCGATAGACTGGTGACCTGTCCAGGGTGTCACCTGCCTTCACCCTGAGTCGGCTGGGATAGGCTCCAGCCCCCCCGCGACCCTAATGAGGATTAAGCGGTGTATAGATAATGGATCACGCATTCTCCAGGTTGGATGTTCACGTGAAAAGTACTCTTTCTGGACTCATGACTGTGCACCTGTGTGTCGCCCCTCCAGGACAGAGTGGTATGGGCCGCTACCACGGCAAACACACCTTTGACCAGCTGAGTCACCAGAGAGCCTGCCTGGTCCGCAAGCTGGGCATGGAGAGTGTTAACCTGGCCCGGTACCCTCCTCAGGACCGCCGGCGGGCGCGCAGGGTGCGGATGGCCCTCAAGTCACCTCTGATTGACATGTCCAAGAGGACGCTGATCTGGGCCATCGCCGCCACCGTCATCGGCTTTGGCCTGTTCGTCACTCTGCTGGTCATCCTGCTCATAGCTGCAGGCCTCAACTGCACCTGCTGGTACTGGAGGGGCTTTTATAACTACTTCTAGAGACACCCCAGCTCCAAATAAACAGAAGTGCCTGCTGCAGTTAGTTCTATGTTCAAAATACACATTGCGTCTTGTTTTATAATCAGATATAAAGTAAAAAAAAAAAAGAAAGATATAACCTTCTAAACTAACTTGTATTTGCTGTGTGTCTGTTTGGAATCAAATGTATTCAGCAAATAAGCAAACAAGGTTTAACACTGTATGAACAGTTCTGTCCTTTATTCTTTTCTTCTTTTTTTTATTATTAGAGAATAACATTCACTTTTTGAGGATGTATTATAAATGCAGAAACCAGAGCTGACTTACAGGACTGTGCAGATAAAATATGTATTTTGCTTGTTTTGTCCAAAATTAAAAGACTTGTTCATATATGATCATATTCTGTTTTATTTTGCCTTTTTTTTTTCTTTAAAAATAGTTTTTTGGAGGGAAATTTTAAGCCTTTATTGGATGATTGCAGTTCGGCTAGCTGGGTAACAAACCAGAGAGCTCAGGGTATATCTATGCACATACAGTTCAGCTGTCAGGTCCACACAGTCTGTTCCCATTGTGACCTCCAGAGGACACTGTCTGCACTTCATTCACTGTGAGAAGTGATCATATCATAAACTGAAGAGATGATACGCTTAGTGTCAGTACCAAACATAGCAGTGTTAAAGCTGTTCGAGCATCTGTGCACAAATTGGCAGACAGCAGTATGCAAGAGGGTAGAGGGAGGTTCTTTGCATTAATATATACTCATTTTATAGTTTATTAGGCCTGTTAACCTAAAAGTGATGCAGACTTTAACAATTCCAGCACAGACTGAACACTATAACCTTCATGAAGCGAGGATTTATTGCAGGACTGTTGCATTAGGCTGTCCAGGGTTTACTTACAGGAGGTTTACCTACTAAAGTTCATACAGTGTTTGCTCTGTTGGAATGCGTGTGACCAGCGACATACATAGAAGACACCACCCCAAAGATCAAACTTATGAAACCAAGTATGGTGATCAATTTCAATGCTCAAAGAAATTAAGGGAACACTACATTCTTACATCATTTTGTTGACAATGACTTACACAGTGTATATCAATGATTGGACAGTGGTAAACAAAACGATTAACCCACTGAGGGGGGTTTCACAATAACTTACGCTTCCTAACTAGACACATTGATATCCAAGAAGTTTAGTTGAATTGATGTTATACTGGGAGGATTAAATGTTCCCCAATTTTTATGAGCATAATTGTTATTCAAGTTATCTTAAATTCTAGCCAAAATTATGCACATCTGAAGGCCTGACCAAAAACAATAAAAGATGGGTGAAACTCTGTCGCCTGACATAGCATCACCTGAAGTGGCCTAACCTAGAATAACAGAGCTCCATCCTCAAAAGGAAATAAAATAGTTCATAGTTTGTCTTAGTGACTGAAAATGTGTCATTTTGTCTGCCTTGAAGGCACACTGCAAGTTAAGACAATTGTTCCTTAATGATACAATATGATATGTACAACCTGCAATACATGAGTCCAAATGTGTTTCTGTCTGAGCTGTTGCTTCCCTGCAGTTGCTTAATGAGTCATACTGAGTGTGGCTACCAGATGGCAGCAGAGAGCTGCAGTGTGGAAACGGAGCCGTCACAGGAAATACAGTCCCTTAATGTTCCTATTTATTGGCTTTTCTATAAAGTTACAAAGCTGTCCCAATCACTTTTATAGTTTCAGGTTGGATTTCTTCATAAATCTCTCTATATTTCAGATAAGAGGTGACAGAAATTGATAGAAATGTTGATGCTCATCTGAGTCGCCTTCAGTTTTTATCATAGACTCACAGCAAAAGGTTTAACAAGCAGCAGCAAACAGTGAGGGGATGATTTGCACATTGGATTCTGCCTCCCAGGCTCCAGTCTGCCCCGTCTTCAGTCTGCCCCGTCTTCTTTTTCAATCATGTGTTGATGTTATGTGATGTTCTGTGTGCATATGAGAGATCTGCAGTTGTGATTGTCTATTTACACACTAAACAGTCACAGCACAGCTCTTTAGAGTGATTTCAACTTGCACCCCATTAGCACGAGGCTCCCCCTGCTCCTCTGAGATGCTCTGCTAATCTCTAAACTGACAGTTTTATCACTTAATAGCTCTGTGGATATCCAGGCCTTCAGCTTGTAAAGCAGCAAAAGGAAACAGCTGCCCTCTCAGCAGCCTGCCTCTCTCCCAACAGGTTCCCTTCAGTTGTTCCTGCAGGCCTAAATAACTGTTGCATAACAACGGTACAGTCATATTGTTTGGATATAAAGGAAGTCAGGGACACAAGCTTATGACTTTCACAGGCAAAACATTTTACTTTCTTATTTACTGGTGTACCGCTGATGGTGACTTTAAACGTCCCATCTGGAAAGATTTGCACAAAACGACTTCAATAAATCAAAACAGTTGATGTGAGTTGTTTATAATACAGCTTATCAAGTAGTTGCTGGACCGTATTTCATCTCTGCAGCCTAAAAAGACTCATTCTGGAGCCAACTGACTGGCAAAGCAAATCTGCCGTCAGTAATGTGTGTGTTTCTTCAGCAGTTACTCAGTCATTTCTACACCATCTCTAATTACTTCACTGTCACTTTATCTGTGTCAATTAGGGGCCTCCATAGCTCGAGTTAGACTGGCTCTGTCAGCGCTGCTGCTGAAGTTGCTAAAGGCTGCTGAAACAGGCTCAGATGGCTGAATGCCCCTCTCTCCAGAAGCTTTCCACACTTGGTTTGGAGCATTTTAACACCTTCAACTGGGACCGGGTTGGTAGACGAGGAAGGCTCTTTCTTATCTAATTGACTCAAAAATTCTGAGAAAATATTTAAAATGTTATATTGATGTTAAACTGAGCTTAGTTATGTCGAGGACAAACAGTCTGGATGAAGAGGAGATCTTAGCCTGGATTTTCCTTTCTTCTCATGGAAACTCTTTTTGGATTTTTTTTATTCAGAGCGAAAGACTAAATAGGACAGAGGAAACCATTTTGGAATAATAGGCTGCTGGAGAACGGGATCTTTGGGCAGATTCTGTGTTTTTTCAAATGTGAAGAGGCCAGAATAAATACAGTGACTTAAGGCAGCACAGACTGATCAGAGTGTGTTTCTGAATTTATTATTTGCAGATTAGGAATTTCCATAACATTATATTATCATTATAAGAACTTAATATGGTACATTCTCATAGAGTAGTGTGAGTATGAGTAGTGTGACAGTGGTTCAACCATTTAAGCTCATAATTCTTTAAAAAATGATGTCATATTCAACAAAAGGTTCAACTAAACAGGGATTTCCAGTTTAAACTGTTCAAAACCCATAGAGGAAAAAATGATTAATAAAAATATTACACACACGAAAACTCCAAAGCATGACTCCTAAATTGTGAATCTTTTTTCTTCTTCTCCTTCTTTTGCCTCCCATTAATCAACTGTCAACCACTTGGATTTATCCTGTTTCCCTTTGTAGTGGCTTGAAGCACTGTATATAGACCAGCTCCACATTGAGCAGCTAAAAATAAGCAACAAGAAACACTATAATAAAGACATGAAGTCCATTAACTGCGATCAAGCAGAATATCCATCATTAAAGAGAAATTTGCTGCTGTCAAAGAAAAAAAAAAGTGATCTATATAAAAGATGGACGAAGCCTCCATGTCTGAAAAGTGACGCCAACGCAGAAATGTCTTCATCCTGCATTACAACTAACAGCCAGCAGGGGGCGACTCCTCTGGTGCAAAAAGACGTCTGTTTGTATAGAAGTCTATGAGAAAATGACCCGACTTCTCACTTGATTTATAAATGTTTTAACAAAAAGTTTCTGATCTCAGTTGCTAGTTTCAAGAATTTTTGAATGCAGCACAATGCTCACTTTTTAAAACATGGCCCCATTATAAGTAAAGCAGCCTCCAAATGTTAACCTGCAGGTGACACAGGAGACAAAAATCAAAAGCACAAAAACCACCTACTCACAGTCATCCTCCAGGAACCATGAATGTCTGAACAACATTTCAGAGCAAGACAGCTGGTAGTTGCTGAGGCTTTCATTCTTGATTACGGTGGCGCTGTCAACCTGATCGCCTAAAAATCTGAGCATAATAAAACAATAGCTGCGCTTAAATGCAAGCGCTTGACAGTAGCAAACAATAACACTTGTCTAGAAGCAGTCAATTTAGGAGCTATAGCACTGACACACTTCTTTTGTCTCAGCTTGACTTTCGAAACAAAGAAACAACAAAAAAAATGAAATTAATAATTCTAATGTGACTTTGTCGAGCTGTCCTGTTTGTCGTGCGGTGCCGCTCGCTAACTGACCTCCTGTAGTGAATTGTTCCGTGCGCAGATGACTCATGCACTGCAGGAGCTACTTCTGAAGAGCTTTGTTGCTGCTGAAATGTAAAGTTAACTTTTGCAGAGATTTGACCTCATCTGTCCTCTGTACATAAATCTCAGTCTGCCAGAGACCTCTCAGCCCAGCAGCTGTCTGACTGAACGCCGCTGGCAGTGAGCTTCACACACATCACTCCTCAGTCACACTGCTGCTTTGGAAGACACACTCCCAAACATATTTCCTTCTGCAAAGCACTTGGCTTCAGGGCATGATGTGTGAGGTACAGTGTTTCTCGTGTCTTGTACACTCCTGTCTTATTGCTAACATCCCATGAATAATGCATTGGTTTGATGGTTCGGATGAGAACGCCTTTGAAGATGAAAGTTTGAAATCTTTGACATTCATTCAAGAACAAGTTTGGAAGGTGAACATATGTTTGCATGCATTTATTATGGGAGTGTGTGTTCAGGTCAACCTTCAGCCAGATTGAAGGTCCTTCTGTTGTTTGTCAGGAGAGTGTTTATCTGCTGCTTTTGATAGGAATGTGATTCAGTCCTTATCCTTACACTCGCATGCTCTATTTTTTTTTTATTTTGAACATTAATTGAATTTGTTTATTTTGCTCTGGAGGTTGATTGAAAATAGAGAGAACCTGATTCCCTATGAATGGCTGTTGCTGCAGTTTCTTGTTTCCCTGGTGACCCTGATGCCAAAGGCTCATTCAGCCTCCCCCACCCCCTCCAGTACTGATGGACTGTTGACATCCACAATGGAAAATATTCACTAAGACGTTATGAAAAGCCTTTCAGGAAGAAAAAGCAGGAGAGTGCTGCTGTAACCTCTGATGCTGGTTGGCAGGATTTTTGGATGACTGCACAGTTATATAAAAACTAATTGACCATGAATTTAATGCACTGACTTGAGTGGACTTTACTGCTGCATTGGACATTCATGCATTATGGTTTATTACCAATAAACTATACATATTGCGATACCGACCTTATGTGCAGCCGATCAGTGCACTGCAATGCTGTACATTTCCTGATT